AGTCGCTTGTCCATTCATTCATTCAGCCATCCATCCATCCAGTCGCCCCATTGCCTGGACATCCTGTGCCTGATAGCTGTCCCAGTTGATTTGCTCTTTGTGTTTTCCCTTTTCTTTTATTTTCCCGTGTTTTCGTTCAACTTTTGGGGCAACGATACTGGACTGAAGCGAGCTTAATAAAAGGGTTTCCATGAAGTTCGTCCAGGAAAAATATGTGTCTGAGTGATAAACTTTAAGATTCAGTGGATTTCTTTTAATGATTGAACTATGCAGGGCACATAATCTTACCTATGTTTCCTTGGAATTTACTTAATTGAAAACATTACGCTGCTTATTGTGCTCAGATTTTCTCAAATTCTTCGAGTTAAAAACAGTCTTTTCGCCGAAAACTCGAACGATAAATAGATTTAAATAATTTGTAAGCCTAATCATCTACCCCCTTACTTGCAGATCAAAATAGCGACCGAGTAGCCTGAGAATCGTCGTAGTAACGAAGCGAACCCCTGCGAGAACGGAGGCCAACTGCTCGACTTAATTGTCGACCACTGTCAATATTAGCGCCATCGCAACTGCTGGGTGTGGGCGAATCTGCGCCCCGCCACCGGTAAGACTGTTCCAAGATACGTTCGCGTTTTCAGAACATACTCACTTTTACTCGGCTTTACTAAATGGCACCCAAAGATATCACTCGATTCATATGCGAAACACTCGCACATATCTATAGCCTTGCTACGCTTTCATCAGCAAATTGCTTTTCAGTTTTTTTCAGCTTCAATCTTTTTTGTTTTTCCACCGAGCTGCCCACTTGAACCTTTTCGCACACAAACACGCAAATTTACCCACAGGGGGTCGGCATGTTGGTGTTTGTATGTGTGCTTGAGACCAGCATTATATAATATAGGCGCTGAAAAGTTTCAAGTGGCTGTAGGCCTGCGGGCCACGATAATAAATACAAGACGCACAGCGTCGTTTTGGCCACAAGTGCTTGACATTGTTGACTTGGCCCAAACCAGCCCCCGAACGCCAAACTTCGCCACCAATTGATTTCTGACGTTACACACAAAAGCGCCACACAAAAGATCCTGGCAAATATAATGGCTATGCAATTTCAACACACTGGCCATTGTCCTTAAATGTCCTTGCCTCCTACACCTGTTGCCATCAGCTCGATTTCATACTCATGCCCACACGCCGTTCGTTTTAATGTTCTGTTCGTGGTGCTTATTTTAATTAAAATTTAGTTTGAGCCACCTTTATTGCCTTTTTAATAGAACTTTAGTTTTCACTTAGACCGACTCAGTCTCTATCGCTCTCTCTCTGTCCGCCAAAACAATATGCATATCCTTTTAAGCCACACATTCACGACATTTTCCTAATAGCAAATGCAACTTTTGTGATTTCATGGTGTCTAAACCCATTATTCCGTCAGTAAGTGAAATCTAATTAAAACCATGGACATTTGTTTTATATAAATTTACTAATCTTTGAACCAGTTGACATATGAAATTTGAAATGAGTTTTCCCCTCGCTTCACTACATTACATTACGACTGTGTAATGTTTTTTACGATTTTTACCATCTTTCACTGTGAAAATGCACATTCGAAGTGACCACATTGCGCATACGCCACATTGGCGTAACTGAATTAGAGAAAGTTTTCAAAGCAATTAGGATCCAAGCGAAAACGTTGGCTTAGTTTGGCCACAAAATCTCATTACCTTTCTGCAATAAAGTTAAATAAAGGGACAAACATATTAACTAAGTGCCTTATTTTATGTTTGTGAGACGCTTTAAATTACTGTATGCCTAATGTTCAATGTCTATGCACAATAAATATCAGAAATCATTAAATGAATGCCCAAATTGAAAGCACTCTAGCTAATTAATTAGCAAACCAACTATACATTGTATGTGATTTCTTATGTATTTTCGCGTGCCGCGGATCAAAGGAGCCAAAAAGCAGCACCCTGAATTTCTCGTCGTTCAAATCGAGCTTCACTTCCAATGTTAATTTCCTGAAGAGAAGGTAAAGACCTTAAAAAAGGAAGTGCCCCCTTTGGCAGAAGGGGGCCCCAGTTGAACGAAACTAATTTGAAATTTCATATGTTCGTCTATTTCTCTATCTTTTCTTCTCGGGCGGTATTTGTCTACCACCCCATTTGATTATCTCATCCTTTTCCACTCAAATGCGCTGCACCATTTAACCTGTCTACTTGTCTGGCGGTTGGAAAACAACCGAATCAATCAAAAACACCACCCTACCACAACCACCACCATAACCCACACGAAAACTACTAACAGATTCAGCTCGGGAGACTTGTCTTCCGAGGTAGACGATGTCGATCCGAATAGCCTGCCGCCGGCGGCGCGGCCCATCCAGGATCAGCCGACGAAGCCGCCGGTTGCCGGCGGACCGCCGAATATGCCGCCACCGCCGGCTCCCGGCCAACCGGCCGGAGCTGCTCCGGAGCTGTCGTTGAGCTTTGGCGCCGGCAAAACCCCGGCGACGGCTGCACCTGCTCCACCACGTGGGGTCAGTGCGCCGACCAGTCCGGCCAAGTCGCGCGAAAGTCTGCTGCAGCGGGTGCAGAGCTTGACCGGCGCTGCCCGGGATCAGGGAGCCTCCATTTTGGGTATGCTTTGGCATTGGCAGCCACCTACACTCAGAAAAAATATAGCAGTCATTCAGTCACGTAACATGTAGAGCAGTCATCATTAACCCTTGTTATATATAGTATGCAACCCACTTTATAAGCAATGAGTCTCTGTCAATCCATACCATTATGTTATCGTCATTGTTGTTGTTCTACTTACCTGTTTATTGCCATTAGTTTACATATAGTAACCCCTGTTAACCCTGGCGATTGGAAAAGCCTTGGATAATCATAATCCTGTACTGTTGAACAAGTTATACAATGTGCATTCCTGTATAATATTTTGAAAGAACTGCTTGTCTCTGCAAGCTGAATTCCTTTTGAAATTCCTGGTGCTTTCTACTTAAATGAGAACCTATATAACATTTAAACATTTCATGTTTTAAGTGAAGTATTTTGAGAAGAACCCCACTCTTCAATCCGAAGTACATAAACCTAAATAACCTTAAAGGTTGTGTCCCACCTAAATGTTACAATCTATGAGCCTTTTCTGAGTGTAGGGACTGTTTATGGGTCTCTGGGCATGGAATGACATCTAACCCAAAACAGGAGCTGCGGTTCAGAGCGCCACACAACGGGCACCGGCGTTCAGCAAGGACAAGTACTTCACGCTGCTGGTTTTGGATGACCAGAACACGGACTGGTCCAAGTACTTCCGGGGCAGGCGGTTGCACGGCGACTTCGACATCCGAGTGGAGCAGGCCGAGTTCAGGGCAAGTACCAACCCATTTCTCACCCGGTAATCGGGCTAATTACTGTTTGTCCACTGCAGGACATTACGGTGGTCTCCAGCGCGGACACCGGACCAGTTGTCACCATGGCCGCCTATCGCAGTGGCACTCGGGTGAGTTAACCAGGACACTGGCAAAAAATTACGCACATGTTGCTCATTTCTAATTTATATACCAATTAAAATAAATAGGTTGATTTACTTACAAGTGGTGTTGAGTCCCTAGAAAAACGGCAGATTTGGATTTAGTATTAAAACTACGCACATCGTAATAAAATCCCTTTTCCCCGAGAACTTCTGTTTTGCCAACAGATTATTTTCCCAGTACTCCCACCTGGGTAGTTTGCGCTTAATTAGTGCAATGACAGTGACCAGCAGTCGTGGATCCAACTTCTTAGCCCGGGGATTGGATGTCCGCCAGTGCTCTACAGAGTAATAGGGCCATTGAAGGACCCAAGGACGTGGGTGGACAGCTTAATAGGTGGATGGGTGGCAAGAAGCGCCTAAGAGACGGCAGTCCATCAACTGCCTTTGTCCCTCTCGCCTTATTTGCGTAGCACTGAGCTCGAAGCTCTGGCGCTCTATTTTCCATTTGTTTATTTCAAGTCGGATTGTTGACTTTACGATGCTGGTGCTGTTTTTGCAATTGCGTGTGTCAGTCGCAATAAAAGACACTTGTAGCTGAGTAAAAATACGAATGCGATTGCCAAGTATGGCATACTTGTGACTGTCGGGAAGTTAGACGCCATCTGAAGCGTTTTGAAATGCAAATAAAGGGATTCTCATTTTATTCATGTAGGATGTGCAATAGTTCTGACCAAGTGAAGTCACTCTGCGTGCAATAAAGATTTAACTGCAGTTGTAAAAGAATATTACGCGCAAGTGAAATATATTTATTTTCTGAGTAATCAATATGATGAGATGCTTTTGTTCATGCTGCTCCAAAAGTAGGCAACAAATATTTGGTTTGGTCACACAACTACCGCCTGACAGCAGATGGCGCTAGTGTATCATCAATGCAATCCGTTTGCTCGTCAGCAAATTGTATTGCAAGTCGAGGAATTATGCGGTTAAACTTCCAAATAATAAGTAACACCATCTACAATGTTTTTAAAGTATATTTTGCGTTTTTAAAAGTCACAAAAATGTTGCCAGAGACTGGCAATCTAACAGCTAAGTATATTTTCTTTTTATCATAACATTTACTTTCTTTTTGGAATATCACACCAAAACAGGTGGCGCGTTCCTTCCGACCGGACTTTGTGCTGATTCGCCAGCCGCCGCGCGACGGATCCAGCGATTTTCGTTCCACGATCTTGGGATTAAAGTACGGCGGAGTGCCCAGCATCAATTCGCTGCACTCGATCTACCAGTTTCAGGTGAGTACTGTTGGAGTTCATGTGGGGCTCACTTTACAATTGATCTTCTTTGATGTTTTAAGGACAAGCCCTGGGTATTTTCGCACCTGCTGCAATTGCAGCGGCGCCTCGGACGCGACGGCTTTCCACTGATCGAACAGACCTTCTTCCCCAATCCACGCGATTTGGTAAGTGTACGCGGTATGAACATTAAAAGCTAAACACTAATTAAGTAGCTACTAAGGAGTTACAAGCTGGTTACAAGTTCGAAAGCATCCATTATCAAATAACACATTAGGCGTAACGTACGTATTAAAGCTCTACACAGAGAAAAACGATAGCATAACAAGGTCAAGTGGAGGACTTGGGGAACTAAAACCCGTGTTGCTTTACGAATTACTCTTGCACTTTTTGTAGAGCTGCGTGTGTTTCCAACGGCATCGGGAAATCCATCCATTGACCGTTAGTTCTTTGCGGGGCATGCAGGCGCTGTACTCTGTCTCGCACTTCTCAGAACGCGACCATTTGCATTCATCGTCATAAATGGGTCCTCTATGGCATCCCTCGTTAAGGCAGGGTATCACCTGGTAGAAGCCACAATGTACTTAGATTCAAGTCTGATTGGTTGCACTCTTAACTTACCGTGCAATTGGCGCCCTTGGCATATCCGCCGCTGAAGCCATGTCGCTCTGTTTTGGTCATCGCAGTGTACTCCTTGTAGTAACTGCATAAGTTTAGCGACGGAATCCTTCCCGCCACTATATAAACTCTTCCTAGTCTGAGCCGTATACCGCACATTCCCTCATCTCGGGGCGTGGACAGGCGACCATCGCGTAGCATTCGCCGCGCTTCGGGAGTAGCCTAGTAAAACGATGTGATTAAAATCAAATAAACAGGGCGCGATTACTTTTTAAGCTCAGTTCTTAAACGGATAATATTGAGTTCAACTTGAAACGTAAATATGCATTCCATACGATGACCGTGCTTACCCTGTAGGTGCGTTTGATCTGAACTTTGTAGGTGATCTTGCCCGGCTCGATGGTCTCTGACTGGCGAAGGACTCGCAGTTGCACAACTGTCAAGGATTGGCATTTTTTATTGAGTTACCCGGAGACTCGCTGGTAGTGGAAAACTCACCGTAGTCCGCCGTGGCGTAGTGCGTCTGTGGGTGGGATGGCATGCAGCTGCAGGCGTCCGCTGGGCGACCGTAAAACGCGAGTATCGCGACCAGGAGGAGCATCCATAAACCCAAATGCTTTCTAAAATCCATGGCTGCGTTGGTTGGTAGCGAGCTGATAAAATGGCTATGGCCTTAAGTCGCCGCCAGTGAGTCCCCGGGATTACTGTAACGGAAGTGAGAAATGATGGAAATGAGGGAAAATCGAGATTGCTTCTTACGTTAACGACAATGATTTAATGGGAAAACGCATATAATGGCTTTCGTGCTGAAGGTCACTGAGAGTTTAATTATGTCTGTCTTACTTGTGCCGTTCGGCTTATCAATGGAGGCCAGGCAGCTCAGTAGCAGCCGGCAGCCTTCCATCAATCGAGCCATCAATCCGCTGCCCAATTATGCATTTAATATATTACACATACGCCCCATATGTCAGCAATTAATCGTGCCCACTGTCACAAACACGCACAAGCTCGGATCATCAAGAGCATTTATGGAGAAAGCACTTGACTGCCAAATCACATCCATCTTTGTTCTTTGTAGATTGGATTGGTTCGGCTTAAGCCTGAATCCATATTCGTCTTTCATCAATATTTCATTTCAGACTTACGCAAAGACGATTCAGCAGTCAATTTAGAATGCATAAATCGCAGAAAAGTAGTTCAATTGCCCGGGCATTTCAATTGAACATTTTTGATGGGAAATTCATAGAAAACTTGAGACGCACGAAGCGCAATCCATTACAAAACCGCTACCACACCGCATATTTCGATGTGCTGCCACACCATAGCTATAGATATACAGATGTAGATGCACAAGCTCTCATGTATATGTGCCTCCATATATTAACGCAAAAATATTGTATAATATCGAGAGTGGAAAAGGCAAGGCGGCAATCAGCTGCAGCTACCGATTCGAACTGATCGGGGCAGATAGTCAGGTTCCATATAGACAGACCTATGGCCATATGCCTATCAATCCCGATTTCCCGCCCCCTCGCAGTGCCAGTTCTCCTCTGTTTATGGAGTCCACAACCCGGCAGCTCTGCAGCTCTGCAGCTCTGCAGCTCTCGGCAATGTGGCAATTAAATTGATATAAAATTGAATTAAAAGCATTTTGCGGAAAAGCCACTAGAAAACGCACACGCACACGCATACGCAGGGAGCGCGGAAAATGGGGAAAAATCGGGGGCAGACCTGCATGCGTGAATCGTTGGGAGGTTGCTATTGATTGAACGCAAGCCAAGCAGGCAGGAGTAATGCATCAAACTATTCATTAAGTGCCAGCCCAAGTGGCGGCAGACAAGCAGACGCGCTGACTAATGGGTTAAACTGGAACATACACCGGCAGAAAATGAGTCTATAAAAGATTGCAGCACAAGAAATTCCAGTAAAGCCAATTTGACAATGAATATCTCTAAGCTTAAGCTGTGATGACAGCACTACAAACTAATGGTATTTCTGTCCTAATACCCTACAAAGGCCAAGAACTGCTGTTTTAATACCCTGATCATAATATTATAAAACAACATTGCAGCTAAAAGCTGGTATTTTTAAAACTAAAAACAAGATAAGATGCTATAGTCGAGTTCCCCGACTATCAGATACCCGTTACTCAGCTAGTGGAAGTGCAAACGAGAAATTTAAACATTTTCTGGAATATCTGTAGAAATTGGGAAAAATGTAATGAAATAAAAAAAAAACTTTCTTTTGCCTGTTACATACTTTTCAACGAATTAGTCTACCCTTTTACTCTACGAGTAACGGGTATAATAAACATTCTATTTTATTTTTCATAGTTCAACAAATTACTGATGGTTCCTTCTGAGTGTGTACCTATAATTAGATGCCACACAGTGGCTTGCAATGTAAAAGGTTGTTTCCCTTTAGGTTACTAAAAGTTATAGTTTTTTATCTAATATAAAAAAGTTCAATCAGTGTGTTACTTTCAAAGCATCTAATTTGCGTTTAATGAGGGCGGGAAGTAGTGAGAACGTCGAAGTGTCATGGGAGAATTCTTGGTAGGCGAAAAGCTTCGCATGTTTGCTTGCTTTTTTTTTTCTGCCTGACACTGTGACACTTTGCTCGGCAATTAACGGCGCGGATTTGTTTAACAAACAGGCCGACAAGACAGTACTACCAACAACAACAACGAGGGAAGCAAAAAATACGAAACAAACAAACAGCCGGCCAAGAAGCAACAAAAAGTGGCACAAGCACACTCATTCAGTCGAAAACGTCATCAGCGTTTAGCAGATAAATCAAGTTGGGAGCCAATTGCCGGCATGAAAAGCGTTTTCAGAGGCGTTGAAAATTCGCACGATTTCATTGGGACCTGGGACTCCTTTTCCCCTCGCAGCGATACCCATGTGTATCCGTATTTATATATGCACCCATGTCTGAATGCACAATTAGCTGGGCCATATATCACTCAGGCATAGTCTAAAGCTGGCCAGAGCCGGCAAAAATGCAGCAACAGTTCGGAGTTTTGTGTTTTTCTATTTTTCGAGTTGGGAAAACGCTCCCCGTGTTTGTTGACAAGCCTAACACATGTCAATTAAATGTTATATATTATGGCACGCGGCGGCCACTCACACTGACTTCTAAAAGTGGAACGTGCCGCATTTGACGTCACTTTGTGCCCCCTCCAATTGACACACTTGTTGGACTTGTCTGCCATGAAGTTCTTGTGTCGTCACCATCATCGATGTTGACATTTGACACTGGTTTCAGTTTCGAGTGGCTGTCATCCAATTATGCGGGTAAAAAAATACACAAAATAAACAAGAGGAGGCAGCAATTTCAAACGATATTAACTCAAATTTCGGATCGAGTTCAATTGGCATTGATTTCCACTCTGAACTCGGGCCACTTAAAGTTTGCCGCTCTCAAGAAAATGGGAAATATTTATTGACCCACATGGTGGGGGGAATTTCGCTACACCGAAATAGAAAATAATTCAATTAATATTCCAGCATATATGTACAACATATTTGTATATTTTTATTGAAAGTTGTAAACAGAAAGCGCAGCAGGATTATACTTTAATTGTAAATTAAAGTATTCAAGTTGTAATTTATAAAACACCGAAAGCAATTACCCGTTTAACTTTCGCCAAATTCATTGCACTTTATTTGCTTAAGTGTTTAAATTACAAATTCGTCTTCATGAAACCTAAGCTATGCCCAAAAAGCTCAGCCAGTTGGCATTATGCAAATTTTATGATTAACACTTGCTCATAGAAAGGCAGACAGCAAAAGGAATCCAGACAGATTTCCCAGGTGAATTCAAAGGGATTTGCTAAGGTCAGACATGAAAAAGGCCAAGGCTCGGCGATGATGATAAAAAAAGGGGGCAAAAGTAGACAGAAAGGATTATTCAGCTACAAAAACTAAAGCGCTTTCGGTTTAGCTCCCCTTTTTTGGATGGTTGACTGCTCGCCAAAATGGTTACAGCAACCAAAGCCACATAATTAATGCGATTTTGGTTTGTGTTCAGTGCTTTCCTGGCAAATTTGTGTTGGCCAGTGCTGTGTAGTTGCCGTTGAGAGTTTTGGTTTATGAGCACTTAATTGGGGCCATTAATACCGGCTAATGTGTAAGTGAAGTGTGTGGACCCACAAAAGTATTAGCAGCCAGCAGCACTTCGCATAGCTCCGAACAAAACACCAAATGCATCAACATAAAAACGTATTTATAGCTTTCTGATATTTCGACTATATATGCCTAATATTTTGCGCCTCCAAAGAAGACATATCAAATTGTGGCTACCCGAGATTTATGGTTTCTTGGTCTATTTAGTAGTGGAATAATAAGGGTACCGCATTTTTTATTGCGTTCAAAATGTGTTTTGTCTACAAAAGATTTAGTAGTGTTTGAGTGGGTCATCTCTAAATCAGTTGTAGCAAAACAGATTTTCTCGACGTGCTAATCAGTAAATTCCAATGCAAATTGTCACATTACTGTAGCATTACATAAATCTAAGTATAACATTTTAATAAGGTCAACGTTTTATTAAAATAATATTAATCTGCATGATTTAAGTATTTAATGGCATTAGCTGTCACTTGCTTCCCTATCATTTTTATTCAGTAAGACCAATACATGAGTAGTATAGTGAGTACCCAGACTTCGAATCGAATGTCATTATTCTCGACTGCCTTTTTCGGCGGTCGTTTACTTTTCGATATTGCTCTTTGTGGCATTTCGTTTATAAATTTGCGTTTTATTGCTGATTCTGCGCAATTCGCTATTGGAGTTTGATTTTCACTGACTTAGATTACATTACAGCGCGATTGTGTCATTTCGTGGAGGCGAATGTTCAGTTATCAGAACGCGAGATTACTTCTGATTAGGCCAAGCAAATATTAGCCATTGCAACTGAGATGACAACATGTAAGTGACCAGGAACGACTTTTCCATAACCAACTTTTGCAGTCGCGTGAGTTTCCGCCGATTTCCCATAACGGTGCTGAAAAACTTTCTTTGGCCGAGGGCCTTCGGTTGACTGGCTTTTCCTTTGTCGGCGATGCCTTTGCAACAATGGGGGAAAATTACGGGGGAAATATCAAAGTCACGATCGGGCAATAGCCAATGCCATAATCAGCCTGATCAATGCGGCCCAAACAAAAGGGGGTTATGGTATGCCTATTTGATTAATGCCACTGCTTGATCCCTGACCCGCAATGGTTTCCTGCCCAGAATGGCCAAGTAATGAGGTTTCGAGTTGGTTAAGCATAGCGATTGGCAGCTATAGGCATTTACATGCGCTCAACGACACCTGAACCAGTGGCATGTACATGCATAATTAACAACGGAATTGAGATCCGAATACGAGGTGATAAGAACTGGCTAAGTGTTGTCCCTACTGGCCAATTGAACCGCCAGCCGATGAGATGCAGTGGCTCCATGGTTGACAGCTCCATTCAGGTGTGACGAAACCTTGTCTGGCAGACAACTATGCTCGGAATGTCGGAATGTTTATTGCCTTGCGCCTCATTAACCCATGCACAAGTATGCCAGCGGAATCTGACATCACTGCGCCGAAAATAAGACGCCTCTTATTTGCCACTCAACTGCAGCGGCTGATCAAGAAAACAAACAAAAATTGCAAGCCCAAATTCGTCACGTTCTTTGGTATTTCATTTTGGGCCGCGAAATTAAAAGCGAAACAGTAACGCCACAAGTTTCTCGACTTATGACACAAATTGTCCGGCGGCGTGGCAAAATAAGCAAACACTTCGCCGGGATGTGCAACGAAAATTCAATTAAAAATGCTAATGTATCTGAATGGGGGATGCGGTCCTGCAAAATCGGAGACCCAAAGGTCTGGGGCCTGGACTCACATTGCATTGGCCAGGCCATAAAAGTATAAGTCATTAATGAGCGACACATATAGCGTGTGCATATATAAAACCTCAAAGTAAACATATACATACTCGTATGCTGGCAAATATCATGTATAATGTGGAATACAATGGTGTGCAGTGTGCGGGCTTGCATTTCGTTATCAAATTGCTCGAATTTGCATGAAAATCAATAAACTCAGCTGGCAGTTCAATTAAATATTCAACTGATTGCTGTGACAATACCGAATCGCTTTTCGTCAACTTGGGTGATTTATTTCAGCCTAACAAGGCACCAATCCAGACCGGGTGACAGATCTTGTTAAAGACGTTGAGATACATTGAGAGGCATTGGGAAAAAAGGAGCAGAAAAGCAGCAGAAAAGCAGCAGGAAGCTGACAAATTGACGGCCCATGGCCCACACACAAATGGAGGAGCTCCGGGTAGCGAAAAAAAATACAAATTCATTCTCGATAAATTTGCTGCCAGACCTGTGAAATTTACGCACATTCACTTCAGATGATGGGGAGGGGGAAATTATTAATGGTGGCGAAAGACCAAAAAACCAAACCAAAGGCTCTTTGTCGCGCTGTCTTAATTGTACAATAATATTTAATTGCAAGATTTGCACAAGAAAATTTATTAATGGCACGGGATGAGCCGAATGTGGGTGTGTCGACATAAACAATTCCGATTTGTATCTGTATATGGCTCCGACTTTTTTGTTTTGGGATTTAAAAGCATTCGCCGAATATGGCGAATTGAATGATGTGCGAGGGAAATGCCACATTCACAATCATCGCATATGACAATTTTATTTGCCCGGCTTTGTGGTTTTTTATTGATTGCGGATTGGATACAATGCGTAATCTAAGTAGAGCAGCCATTGTATTGATCGTATTGGCATTCTGGGAATCGCTGAAATAGGCATGATGTACATAAAAAAATATATACCAATTTACAATGAATATCATCTAAAAAGAATATTATATGTTGCAGATGGTTCTATTCCCATTGTGATATACGATTCAAATTTTATGACCGTGAACAACATCCTAATGAGAGTTTATTTCAGTGTAGCCTACTAACCGGATTTTCCTCCCTCAATAAGCAAATGCGGTTAAGATAATTTAAGGTGCCATATGGCGATATGTGTCGTAAGAGGGCAAACAATACATTCAATTCAAAATTAGCACACTCTAGAAAATTGAATTGCATTCGATAACAAGGGCATAGCGTTATCTGCTGGAGAATAACGAAAATAAATATTCCAGAAAAGCTGAAAAGCCAGCACATAATACAAGCTCATTTAAAACGAAAAGCCAACAGTTATTCCAAAGTCAAATGAAGGAAAATGAAATTATGAATATCCATGCGAAACAATGCGACTTGCCGTGTCAAAAGAAAGTCAATGGAAGAGAAAGGGGGAAAACCCACTTTAAAAGCATTTCCCTGGGGCAATCTCCCTCGAGATATGCTTGTAAATTTTATTTGTTTTTTTTTTTTTTGTGCGTCTCGAGAAGCATTAAATGTGTCTATATTTTTAGACACTAAATGGCCAATGCCAAAACACACATGACGTATGCGTAATATGGAAATACCTATGGCCTTTCGCTTTCCTTGACATCCGACAAAATTGTTACATATACATCACAGATTCAAAGAGCTTTACGATCAGACTGGATTGCACAAGCAAACTAGTTGTATATTTTTTAATGGCCTGCAGTTTGTTTACAAATTGGCGACAATAAAATACTATTAAGACAATTCGAAAGGCCAGAAGAAAACTGAGGCGGTCCAAAAGATCAGGGGAGGCAGATGCACAGCTAGGCAAATAAAAACAAATTATAAATAAACGCCAATAAATAGAAATGAGCGTTGTCTTGGAAAACTGTGTCGCTGTGTCACGTCGGCACATTTCCCAGTGCGCGTTTTAAATAGACTCAAAATAAAACACAACACGCGTCGCGCGTTTTGCATACCTTCAATTTCAATTTCAATCTTCTAAATGCCAGACAACTCTAAATCTAAAATAAAGTTAAAACAACATGAGTTTGTTCTCTTGCTTTTGAGTTGCAAGTTGTTTTTGCGCGAAACTGGCACCTCAGGCAAAAAGCATCAAAGAGAGAGAAGAATTCAACTAAGAATTTTGAAGTGAAATTTAATCAAAATTATTTCCAACAGCTGAAACATTTGTTTCCGTTTACGAACATATATGAAACTTCCGTTTGCGAAATAATCTAAGAACGGAACGACTCAAAACTTTGCAATGCGGAAACTTCGGAAGTATTTTAAATTAATCATTTAGTACAATATTTTTAATTACTATTCCAGCATGTGCTGTATGCCATAGCAATTCATGCATATTCATGCAAATACCATTCAATGACCAAAAAACAAAAAAATATCGCTAGTTAATTGTTACCTTAAAGCAGCAACCTATTTTGTGTGTAAAACTGGCACTTCAGGCTTTAAAACACTTGAACCCGAGGGCACAGAAATGGGGAAAAGCAGTTAATGTATTTCCACCGGCACTCGCACTCGAATCAACTAGTCCGCACTTTATACTACTTGCTAATATATATATTCCCGATCTCGCGATTTCTCCGTCGCCGATTCTGAGGCGTTCTAGCTCGCTGCGCTTGCGGTTCTGCACTGGATCGCCAAGCCAACCGATTCGACTGTTTTCTTCGACGAATTCCCGAACCCGAATGCTCGGACATTTCGCTCAAGTTCTTCGGGAAGTGAGAGATCGGTTCGGTTCGGTTCGGATCGGATCGATCGGTTGAGTCGATTCAAGTCGAGTCAAGTCGATTCGATTCGAGTTGCGTGTGCATACTTGTACATGGCTTGAGTGTTTCTCGCGGCAGTCGGGCGATCAAAAGCGCCATAAATTCCCCCTAAATGAGTGAAAAGTGGAGGAGAGTCGAATGCATTTTTCCTGGCCTTTTTTTTACCTTGGCAGCTTTATTAATTGCGTGCTGCGGCCTGGTTTATGCTCTCGGCCATATAATAGCATACAATATGTATAGGCGCAGTCACTTGGCGCCATGGCCAAAAAGAGATCGCCACACGAAGCTGCAGAGCAACCGCATTGGCGCATCTGTCAGGTCGCATATCAACTAATAATTCAGCTATGCCGGCCGAGTCGCAAGTTCGCCAGCGATCCCACTTCCACTTCCACTTCCTCTGACCATGTGGTGCACACACGTGCTGCTGCTCCGGTCATGCTTCATATCATGCTCCATGCTCCACCTACAGCACGTTGCCATGATCTGCATAGCCGACCCGATAACGCCACCGCATTGCGGATCTGCACGGCGAGAAAAAGTTGCTCTACTGATGGCCTGAACATATTACAATATTATTACAAAATTAATAGACTGATTATCGTGATTACTACAACACTATGATGAATGGCATAAATATAAAACAATTGCATTTAAATATAAAACGTACATATATAGGGCTAAAATATCTTGGAACATTAGTAGTTTTAAAAAGTCACAAACTCGTAGGATCAATAAACATGTACAAATCTGGAGTAACAAGCAGCATGTTATTGATAAGAACAGTGATAATGATACAGGGATCTGTACCATCCCTTGTTTGCTCAACAATGTTGCTACCTATTTAATTGCCTTTCTTCCAGTGCACTTGTAGAGCAGACACCAATGCCGAAGGCACTACGAATGCGTCACAGTGCATATTTTAAGTCCGCTGATATAACCGAGGAGCAGTTCCCTAGACAGTGGGCACTCATGCGGAATACGTAGCAGCTTCCAAGAATGCGGGCTATGTGGGGGTGTGACGCCTCATTCTCATTCTCATTCCGATTCTCATTCTTGCTCTGAGGTCCAGATACGATTGTATTATCCAGAGTATCTGTATGTTATATCTATATGTTCATTGAGAGATTTCTGCCACTCCGTTTGTTGTCTCTTTCTGTCAGCACGATGGGCTTTCATCGGCGGCAATTGCGACAATTCTTCGGGCTGTGTCATGATTGTTATGGTGTTCCATTCGGTTTTATTTTGATATACTTGTATTCACCCTCTGCCAATACAACACGAAAGTGAACCCATGAGTTCACTTGTGATTTATCAACTGTTTAAATATGGCTTTGGGTGGGGGGAGATGATTAACAAGGATATTGGGCTGCGATGTGCATATATAAATGTAATAGCCATGAGTAACGATGCAAAATAATAAAATGCGAATTAATCAAATATATGAGGGCAGGGCATTTTTGCTCTTGCATATTTAATAGTGATTTGCATGCGTCATTAATAACAATAAGTCATTAAGTCATTTTCATGAAAATGCTCTCCTGCCTGACTGATGATCGAGGATTCTTGGAATTTGACTGGCAATCAAAGAAAATTTATGTGGCCAGATTCGTGATTGGAATGAATGCGAAAACCTAAATTTGGCACTTATCCAATCGACTAATAAGCATCGCCCTTTGATTTCCGCAGCAGATAAAATGAGAAAAATCATTCGCATTTTGTAATTTATAGAATTTCAATCAGGCAGCGAAATACAGTTTATTTCAGATTGTGATTGCCTCGGTGTCTTTATTCACAACACATGAAAAAAAGTGTTTTATATCCATTATACATTTTCTTTTTCCCGATGTTTTCAATTTTATGAACCTATAAAGTGGGCCAATGGTTAAAGCGAGTTCCAAACATTTTTAAAAGCTATTTATAAAATCTGATACATTTTCTTGGGATGAGTCAGATTGCCATATTTATTATTAAGGTTGCAAATTAGGTAAATATAATAAGTTCTTTCTCTCCGTGCACTTGCAGTTCCAATTCACCAAGTTCCCCAGCGTGCTGAAGGCTGGACATTGCCATGGCGGAGTGGCCACCGCGCGCCTGGAGAACCAGAGCGCTCTGCAAGATGCCGCCGGACTGGTGAGCGGTGCCGGGAATGATTCCCATTGTTACTGCACCATCGAGCCCTATATCGATGCCAAGTTCAGCGTGCACATCCAGAAGATTGGCAACAACTACAAGGCGTTTATGTAAGTGACCGCAAACCGCAGGCGGCTGAAACTGAAAGCCACGAGTTGATGCAGGAAGGGTCGAGTGGTCGGAATATGTAGTCTGAATGGTCCGAATGGTCCGAATGGTCTGATTGTCTGACCTTGCAACTGTCAGCAGACAAAAGCCGTCGTCGTTTTGCAATTGGCTATTATCGTACCAAGTGCAGCGGCAAGAGTTCATTGTCTGCCATCCGAAAAGCCGGTGACGGGTTCAAAGATCCCTCGCCGACCTCCCAAACGCATTATCTACGCTCTTTTAGCCGTCCAATTTATTATACTTAACCGCTTTCGCTCTTCACAGGCGCAAATCCATCACCGGCAATTGGAAGACCAATCAGGGATCCGCCATGCTGGAGCAAATCACTTTAACCGAGAAGTACAAAAGCTGGGTGGACGAGGTAAGTCGATGGATTAAAGCCATAAGAGACACTAAATCAAAGAGGCGAATTATGGCGAGACATCTCCACCGACTTGCCTGTACTCTGCACTTTTCGCACAAGCCAATGCAAGCCCACACATATGAGTCAAATAATTTCCAAATACCCATACATTTTGCTTCAATTATTTCAGTTGATTTTAGCCATATGTTATCCCCGACAATTTTTCGCTCACATTTCCGTTTTGCCCCAAATTCTGAAATTCTAGAAAGGCCTAGTCATGAAAAGCGCAGTCGAGTTCGCAAGCTGCTCAGCCGAACTTAGCCCAGTTGAATTTGGCCCGCATTTATCAAATTTGGCCAATCAATATGGCTAAGGAAAATCGCTTTAACTTATATGCGGCATTTTGGGTGCACAAATTCGATTTCGGCAGCCTTCCGAGTTTCCCCGAGGGGAAATGGAGGCGAACGGAGAGCCGACTTGGAGTCGGTTCGGTTCCAGAAACCATAATCGATTGACGTCAGAAGGCGGCAGAGTTTGCTGTGCCCTCGAGCGGCGGCTTGGCTTTAATTAGAGCTCATGAATATGGAAATCGCAAAACGGCTAAACGCATTAGGCCGCCAATGAACGATGGCACAACGGTAGTTTTCATTGAAGCCATTTTCAGACGGCGCCTCATAACTGCCAAATGAGGTGGAGCATTTGGTTACATGGCAAACCCATCGGTTTTGGCATTTTATCAATGCAAACGAGCGCTCAGCTCGGTTTTCTTTGAGTTGCAAGTGACTCACCGATCGGCACTGCATATGTGCATTTATTAATTGCCATTACTGGCGCAAATATTCCGCATTCAAGTGCAAGCATTAGATTAGAAGGCAACAGTTTTAAACTACATTCAGCGGAAAAATGTTACTTTGAGCGATCAAGTCATTAAAAGTAAAGGTGAAGGTTTTTTATACAAGGCCCTATTTAAATTCCACCGAATTCACTAACCCATTATGACAAGGGATTAGATTAGTTCTGATATACAAAAATGTTAATTTGATCATCATTTTGTAGTAATACTTGTTTTTCTGATAACACACATTGTTTATTTTTAAGCGGTTTCAAATTATTCAATATTCTGGTTACTAGTGTAAAAGCACTTTTCAAAGAGCTCGTGATTTTTGGTAAAATCTGGTGAAAATGCACAGATCTGGAAAATGCCTTTTCAAAAATCAGTACTTATATGGTTATTTTTCCAAGTGCTTGGGAAAGTGGGTGGGCTGCTGACGACGTCACCGCCATTCTGAGCAACTCGGAATCAGCATCGGAATCTGCATTAGCTATAGTTATAGCTACAGCTCTAATCAAAACAAAATGTGTAATTGAAACCGGCAGCGGAAACCCGCGGAAAGCCCACACATAGATGTTTGAACCGATTGCCGCCTGAGTGGGAATGACTGCGCCCGGAATCGAAAACACATTTTAGGGTCTTGATGACTCAATCACAATTCTAATCGCTGAATGCTGCCCGCATCACTTTCAGATATCCGAGCTCTTTGGCGGCATGGAAGTATGTGGTCTCTCCGTGGTGGTGGCCAAGGATGGACGTGAGTATATCATAAGCGCCTGCGACAGCACATTCGCCCTCATCGGGGACACCCAGGAGGAGGATCGCCGGCAGATCGCGGATCTGGTGTCCGGACGGATGCAGGTCGGTATAGGCGGGGGGGATCATGCATCGGTTCAATAAATCCATAACTGCCCAATTACAGAATGTCTGCCGTCCCAGCATGGCGCAGACGGGTCCGGGCAAGTTGCCCTCCCGCTCCTCGGTCTCCTCCCGAGCAGAGAGTCCCACGGACGACGGGGTGGCCCCGACACCACCACTTCCAGCTGGACCACGGCCAGCGCCCATGGGTGGACCACCACCGATACCGGAGCGCACCTCGCCCGCCGTGGGCTCCATTGGGCGGCTGAGCAGTCGCAGCAGCATCTCGGAGGTGCCGGAGGAGCCCTCCTCGTCGGGACCCAGCACAGTGGGTGGGGTGCGTCGTGACTCGCAGACTTCACAGTCGTCGACCATCTCCTCGTCGGTGTCGCGGGCGGGCCAGAGGCCACCGCAGACCCAGAGCTCCGTGGTGGAGGATGCCGAGGACACCATGAAGAACCTGAGGAAGACCTTTGCGGGGATCTTTGGTGACATGTAGGAAATCGCTAACAAGAAGCGCGGCAGAACGGCCAGCGAGACGAGCAGCGGCAGCGGGCCAGGTAGTGTGCCCAGCAGCGCGGGTCCGGGGAGCGGATTCAGTGGCTCCTTCCTCGGCAAGCAGTTCTCGTTCGCCGGCAAGGGGGAGGGCGTCATCTCCACACAGCCCACACAGCCCACTCAGCGTCCCAGCGAGGAGCCCCCAGCCATTCCGACGACGGCCAGCTCAGCCGTCCGGCCGGAGAGCAGCGTTTCAGTTAGCGATGCAAGAAATACGGATACACTTACGGAAAGAGCAGGCGCCGGCTACCAGCCGGTCACCAACTACGAGCAACAGGAGAGGGTCAATCCCTTCGACAAGGAGCCCAACAAGTCGGGCAGCGCGGCCAGCATACACACCTCCTCGTCCTCATCGATCTCATCGTCATCCATCTCGTCGCGCATCAATCGCAATGGCAACGCCATCAAATCCCCGCCCCCGCCGGCGGGTCCGCCACCACCGCCGCCCACCAATGTCACGGCGGTGGGCAGCAATGCCAATAGCTCCAGTGGCTACAGGAACAGCTTCAGCAGCTCCCTGAGCAAGGACAAGACGAGCTATGGCAACTTTGGCAGCACCACTTCGGTGGAGACCATCACACGAATGGACACGAACACCACGAACACAGGAGCCACTGCGACGGAAGCTGGAGAAGCCAGTGGTATTACGGCCATAACCAATATCAGCAATAGTGCCGGAATGGTGGCTCCAGCCACGGGCACCATCACCTCCTCGGTGACCACCAACGACTGGAGATCGGCCATTGGCATGCGATCCGCCAGTGTGTACAGTGCACCCGCTGCAGTGACCACTGTGCTGCCAGGAGACACATCCGGCTACGACTCCAACTCGCTTGCCTCGCAGGCCGAGGGCCTCAACAATCCCAGCGATCTGCCCTCGTACACCAGACCATCGTACTCGCGATCCGAGAGCAATGGTAATTATCTAGCCGTGGGCGTACTGCTGGTCAGCCTAACCCTGCGCAAGACCTAGGGCTCAGCCTCGACTCATCTCGATACCTATTTATATATATATAAATCATGCCATTTAATCTCATTATCGACTAATTCAGCTAGCTACACTCCACATAAATATGTATACTCGTATATAGAGACCAACTAAATGTAATCGAATAACCATAGCCAAGTAGGCAGCCGTGTCAAAGTGTTAGCCAAAACGAGAAAAGTAGGAGTTGTGTCCTTTGAGCCTAACTTTTTCAGTTTCCTAGCCGAGCTCAGTGAGTAAGCCAAATATTACGTATACGACTTGTGGGCCGACCAAGTGTTTGTAAGTCTCCCTCTCGCTCAGCGATGAAAAAACCAAATTGAAAAACAAAAGCGCTTGCCTGCACACACGCTCACACCCACAACACCACAGAAGACAAAACAACAGGAACCGTACAGTACACACTCGCTAGAGTGCACCGCAAACCTGAGTTCAGTTCTGGCTTTTTGGGCACGCATCGAGAAACAAGAGAAACCCGAGATACAATCCAGAAAAATACCCAAATATCACCACAAGAGTAATCCAAGCTTTTAGAAACAACTAAATTCGTTAGTAATATTAGTGCAACCCCTTTTCAGTTTTAGAGCGTGTGTGTGTGTGCGTCTTGTAGTAAATGCAGAGTTATCAAAAGATGAGCCATAGAAAACCGAGATCAACTCCTCAGTTAGAAAGCGCATAAGAATCAGAAGATTTCAAAATTCCCATTGTCATTCACTCACATATTGATAATGCTTGTTTTTGGTAACGCTCATTTTGCTCATCCTCCATCACCGAAAGTCAAGTGACAAATACGCAAAAGGCGATCGAAGGACAAGTCAATATTTAAACAACTCAAAAAATGCTTTAGTAAATTTGAATTTCTATATTCAGCTTGCTCTTCGATCGACTGTGTATAGAATTAAAGATAGATTGGCTTACGTAGTGCTAAAGATACGTGCTAGAAACTGCACCCACGCCAAATTGATGTGCACTTGCTGGAGCTTTTCGTGGCTTGGTTATTAATCTATATTCCCAACTCTTGCAGCCTCCAAGCACTCGGACCTGGATGTAATCTTCGGAGACAGCAAGACCACTCCGGCATCCTATGGCAATGGCAAATACACCCGGGCCGCTGGATCCATTTCGGATGCCGATATGATTTTCGGAGGACCACCCTCGAACTACAAGACCGATCGCTTCGGGGCCTCCAAAAGCATGAGCATGACCTCCGGCGGAGTGGGTTCCGGATCGGGCTCGGGCTCGGGAGGATATAAGATCTACGAGGGCATCCAGAATGCGGCATTCAGCGACTTCAGTGACTCGGGCAGTATGAGCAGCATTGGATCGCACACCAAACGCTGGAGTGCCAGCAAGGAGGAGGACGATGAACTGGACTTGAAGTAAATCCAAGGGAAATTCCAAAGCAGCACTGTCACCTGCAGAAAACATTCACCCACACACACACACACTAGGGCAACCAAACTATTGAATTCTATCAATCTTTCTGCCTCTGAAGTTTCCTGGTTTCATGGGAAAAACACTAAGCATATTACTCACTCACATTACTATCGTTTCCACTTAACTAACATGATCGAAACACCTTCCGCTCATCTGCCACCAAAACAGCAATGGAAATATAAACAGCATAATATGCCGTGTAGACACTGTAGTACACTACTAATACATAATTATAACCACCAATGCAACAACAATAATGCAAGGCCCATAAGATATGTGCAATGAAATGTCGCCGATTGACTTGACTGGTTTTGCAGTGCGATAAGAACGAGGAACCTATTTAATTAGCGTACTTAAAAACATTTTGAAACATTTTCCAAAGCAAACAAATTATATATTAAATATATTATTGAGAAAAATATTGAATTATATACCGACATATTAAACCATTTGAGAGTTGATGACATTTAAAGTAATCGCAAGCATATATTACGTGTTAACCTGCTAATAAATCAATGGGAAAACTTTTAAGTAAATCGAATATTAATAAATCTGTTATATACCAACATGAGACACATATAAAATCCTAAAAACTATAAAAAATAAAAGACAATATGCGCAACGTATAACAAACAACCAAACGTTTAATACTAATACATACGCGATCTAATTATAATGAATAAATTAGTTAACGAACTACATGTATTCGGAAATTACTACGAGCAAATGTTACATAAAGAACACAAAGACACACGAGAGTGGAAGCAACTCACACACAAAGTAAATGTTTATTACCACAAATATTATGATTATTATTATGATGTATTAGCAGTTAATGTTTACAAACTCGAAAGCAGCCTTCGAGGGCTTTGAAGATATGGAAATATGGAAAGTACCAAGCACGACAAGCAATGTGAATCTAGTCTGAATCAACTGGACAACAATAACGAACCGAACGTATTCGAAAATCTGGCGATCCCAAGCGATCCACATAAGTTTACACGGTACATAATCGAAGGTCGAGAAATGAAATGAAATGAAATGAAAATGGAGGCAATGGTATTGGCGAATATTTAGATAATATACACAACAAAATATATATAAATGTTGCAAGCGACAACAACGAAGTCATATTATGCATTCCAGATATAAACAATAGCTTCAATTGTTTGAGACTATGATTTAGCGACAAATGTTTAGTATTTTGATGTTTTTGTTACGCACATGTTTAAGCATTATTTACAGCAATAGACAATTTTACATATGTTGAAGTTGAAATAATAGTTGAAATCGTTTCAATTGGGTTGTATACTTCTCTCTTTTATCAACTAATTGCATTAGAGAATTTTAAATATCGTTATATGCAAAGGAATATAACGCAAGTATACTTGAGAACTTGTTAGTTTACCAACTCTCTTCGATTTTAGTAGAATCTACACTTGGGAATGCTACCAATATTTTAATCTAAACAAATTTACAACTATACAAGAATATTGAATAACAATTGTTTTTGTTTAACCTCATGCTATATCATCCTACCATTTATACTTGTATACAAGTAAATATATAAAATATGTATGTAATTTTAAGTAATTCTTTGGCTACAAGTACTTTTTCGTAATCGTATACATCATCATTTTACTCGAACTGGCACATATTCACGCAATGTTTTATAAACATATATTTATAACGACAAATGTAGAACAGAAAGTACATAAATAAATACGGGCATCACTCGAGGAATTCGAAAAACATATATCATGGCACCAGACCCACAACTCACTCACCCCATAACAATATCGTTCATCGAATGAAAGAAAGTGCTGAATTACATAAATTGAAACTCAAAGGAAATACTCAAGCATATGGCATATAACTTACACGACTTCTAATCCGTTGCAAAATATTCCAAATAAATACTCGTATTATTGTGAAAGTATAGCAAGAAATATGTACTTATATGTTGTCTGTAATTGATTCAACTCCCCCTTGAAGTCTCACCTCCCCAAATTCAGAAAGTATGGGAGTCTGGGCTACAGCCACTCAATACACACAGGTACACACAAATTTACTGCAAATCTATATATATACATATATGTACTACGAATTATTCCAAAGAGCAGCGGCAACTGCAATGGCTAGGAAAAACAAGAAGCAAACCAAAAACCAAAACCAAAGTAACAATAAATGAGTTGATGATTGATACAAAAGCAAAGACACAAATTGTTTTCCACTCGACGCACAATTTTGCGTGCGTTTACCTGCGGAATTGAGTTAGCATTGACATTAGGGAATCCTTCGGGCGGAAAAACGTCGGCGGCATTTTCCGGCTAATGACACCAGGAAAAACACTCTCGCTCCCAATCCGCTTTTCCAGTGCAACGAGGCCTGCAGCCTAATCTGCTCCTCGTCTACCTGCCAATCCGCAACGCTGGCCATAAAAACGCGTCACTTCCCGGGGCGAAGACTAGTCTTCATTCGCGACACATTCGATTCAGACCGGCTGACAGTCACGCGATCTTCAAGATGCCACAACCAGGCGGAGATCACTTGATCATTTCTATCGCCACTCTGTTGGCCTTTATCTGTTACCTAGATCTCGCAAATGCAGCCAGTTATCAGCTGCAATCCTACGATCTGGATACGGATAACGCGGCTGTATCGAACTCTAGCGAGGAGGAGTTCAATGCAAGTGCAGGAGTCACCGCCCTGGAAAGACCTCTTTCCTGGCTACGGAACGCCAACAGCATGTTCGGCAGTCCCGCTGGTCATGTGGTCATCCAGGTGGCCAAGGAGCTGCTGCATCGCTCAGCCGGAAACAGTCAGGTGGGCTAAGGACATCAAGGCTGGATGGGCTTCTATTTCATTTCGTCATTATCACTTAAGGTGCTAAGTCTGAATCTCACGAATCTGCTGATCATCATACTCCTGAAAGTCCTGATCTTCTCCGCCGGCATGCTGGGCGCAGGACACTGGAGTGGCTATGGCTATGGATATGGTCGCTCCGCCGGCCGTAGCGATAACCTAGGTTTGGGCATAGCTTCTGGCGAGGACTATCTGATAACCGGATTTCTGGCCGCCCAAGGAGCCGGCAGAGATGAGTGCCTCTACGCCGCATCCTGTGCCTGCCCCACATCGGCCTACGAGTACGCGAAAGCAGGACGTGCTCTTATGGGCGCCATTGAAGTTTTCCAAGGGTGAGAAGAAAATCCCTATTAAGTGAACTTTTTTGATCAGTGAATGCAACTTTTATTACAAATGTTGCTAGAAACTAGCTATTGCATATGACAACTTAATTGTTAATCGGGTTCCAACTAATCCACAGAGTGCCGCTGGAGAAGCCGCGCTACAACGACCTCGTCGTCCTCATGGAGCGCGCCGCCTACGATGGCTTCCGAGGAGCGGCCTGCAACACCACGCAGACCTGTGACGGATTGCTCTAGGATTCCAAAGTAAATGCACTCCTATTTATGTATCTATTTAAATGTATATTAAATCATTAGGTGTAGTACAAACGAGGTGCAGTCTAGTGCTTGGTTTGCTTCTTGGTTTGTGGCATTACAGTCTCAATGGTTCAGCTTGGAAATCAGATTAGTTGCTACAGAATTTAACTATGCTATGACTATTATTGTGTCTCTTTGGCTGAGTACTGCTAGTCGGGATCTGGGCGGGATTAGCGCAGGATATTCCTGTCCACATTCGGCTGCTCCTTGCCGCCGGTGATGGCCTTCACAAATTCTGGGTAATGCAGCAGGCCGTCGTTGTTGTCGTCGGCAATCAGCAGAAATTTATCAATGGCCTCTGTAAAAGACGTCAATATTAAATTAATTAAAATATTAAAATAATTAAAAACTGAAACAGCAATGTTTGCATACCTATAAAGTGCTCCAGCTCATCGGTGGCATTTTGTAGGTACTCATCCCGCTCGTTGTTTTTAAAATAGTCATAGTTATGATGCATGGCAGACTGAATCATTTCGAGCCCGTCCAGCGCATTGTTGTTATCATTGTCATGGGCCTGAAGTGATAATACGAATTAGAGCTGCTATCTAAGAAGTAGTAGGCCACGACATACCTTAAACATATAGAAGATTTTCTCCTCCTCACTCAAATCGTCCAGATTTGCCTGGATGCCCATGTCCCTCAAATCGTCATCGATGCGACTAAATGTAGATATATTAGGGCGATTCCTAAAACATTTTCCTTACTGCCCCCCACTTACTGCTCCTCGTGGGTGAGATGCTGGTCCACTCTCCTGGTTTCGCCCCTTGGATGATGTGGACCCCTCTTGACCGCCAGCGCTCCATCGAAGTTCTGGCTGAAGCTGGCTATGCAGATGATGAAGTTCAGCAGGTTCGACAGGTTGCACATCCTGTACATTGTGAAGTGAGTTTTGCAGGAAATTGTTGTGTGTTGAGTTCGGGCTGAGCTTGTGTATATTTTCCGTGGGGTGAGTTGGCCAGGCCACAACTGTCACGCGAGCTGTCAAAGCGGCTAGAAGCGCGCAGGCGCTGAGTTTTGTGTATTATGTAGTACTCACCACCGGCCAACTGTCAAGATTCAAACATAGCAACCTCTTTGGCACTTGTCCCGCTGGTTCAATAGCACTAGGCACTATAGGTTATTTGAGCCCACATCAGCAAACGTCGCTTCAAGCAATTACAAATTACAAATTTCCACCAGTAAGAACGGGAAAATGTGCGAACAGTACTGTGACAAGTTCGAGACCTTCAATCCGGAGATCGAGTTTGCCAAGTTTCAAAAACGCAAGCCCGTCGTAAGGACCGCCCAACTCTATGAGAATTTGCACAAGCGGGAGGACATCAAGTGTCCCTGTGAGTAGAGGGTTTCTGGTTTTGGCAGGAACACTATAATTTCAGAATGCTGTACATATTTTCCGAACAGACAGCTTCAAAGGTTATGGCGTGGAATCGGATTCCAATACGATGTACCGCACCTGCAACTCCGAGTATGGCTACTATGCACCCAATGCCTATACCATACCCAAGCGTTTCTATCCATTGCCCCAGAGTTTCTCCAATGAAGTCGTGCGTTTCGGCATGTATCGCAATTTCTCCCTGAACACGCATATAGATCGCACCTTCTACTAGGACGCAAATCACGATGGCCCCATATTGTTTCAACTTTATACACCATTTTACGATTTCTTATGAAATTTTAAATTGCATTCCGGTCATCAAGTACTGCAACATTATTCGAAGCCCTTACCTTATAAAGCAACCTTGAGCAAATCTATCAATAACAAATTTAAAACTGTAAAATGGCAAAAAATAAATATCATTCCAAAAAAGCACCCAACGTCGCTTTGATTATTATGTTAATTTAGTTCTTCAGTTTGCTTTTTGTAAAAAAGAAAAAAGTACAAAAATCCCAACCATTAAAATTAAAAGTAAGCCAAAGTAGCGCGTTATCACAAAGCCAACAAAATGAGGTGAGTCATATTAGCATAATGCTGATAGCTGGCATGTAGCAATACCATTAACCAGCGAAACCAAGAAGCTACTCGATGCATTGCTATGCGATATCTACGGCAGGCAAGAGCTGTTCGCCAAGCGAATGAGGCGTTCTTGCCGCGATCCTGTCCTCAAACGGTCCCCCAAGAAGAAGAAGGGACAACTAGCTCAATTGGCCAGCGGCATGGTCGGCAATCGGTCCACCCTGGAGCGCCTGGATGTGCGCAAGCTCATCGACGTGTGCGCCATCCTGAAGGTCGAGATCCTTATGCTGGGCTATCTGCTGGAGCGGGTCCTGGTGGCCAGGGATCGCCTGCAGCGGCATCAGGAGGTCCTGTGCGAGTTCGTCACTGCCGTGCTCGTCGTGGAGAGTGGTGAGTGCTGCGCTGCTGGTTTCTAAGCTAAACAATTCTCAGGATCATAATATCATAAATTAAGGAATACGAAAACTGTATTTAAAGCAGTATTATTTCAATCATATCCAATGAACTAACCATACATCTTGGTTAGCTTCTAATTCGCTAATAGTTTGCGAAGCTCTCGTTGATTTCAGTACCTTTTACCGAACGGACTATATCGTTTCTCCGAGTGCACCAAATGTCAAGGTGTGCGTGTGGCTGGAGGGGGCGTGCCACTGCGCAGGCTCCCCACTGACAGCTGGGGGCTCGGTCTGGCCTGAGTCTTGGCCACTGCCGTCAGTCAAGTGCGGAACTCTCAGCTGTGTGGATCGTGAAGTGCGGAATCGGAAAAGCGGCAGCCAAAACGCTCACGGCTGAACGCTGAAAAAAGCCTCGCTACCGTCACGCACCGTGCATGTATGTGTGTGTGCTTGTGTTTGCATTTATTGAATGAACTTTGTTGTCCTGTGGCCGTTTGCTGCTGGTGTGCGTGCGTGTGTGTGAGTTGTGGGCAGGTGAAGCCCATGCGTGTACGTGTGTGTGTGTGTGGGTGTGCCTCGAGGCGAGGAGGCTGACTTGATGACGACACAGAGCTGTCTGACGGGCCACACACACACACGCACACACCGACGCACAACCACACACATGTAAGACCTGGCTTGTGTGCGTGTGCACAAGCGGCTTGAAACAACAAACGTGGAAGACTGGCCTCCACAAGAATTTTTGCCTGCCTGTCTTATCTATGTTTTTATATCACTCTTCTGCACCCCTCTCTCTCTATTTATACAAGTGCGGCTGTGTGTGTAAGTGTGTTACCCTTGATACTCGTCGACCAAAATACCAATGGTAGCTGGAAAACAAGGGCCATAAAAGCAAGAGCGCGTGCAAAAGTAGCGTGCTATTATTTATTTATTATTTAGCTTATTCAAAGGTGGAAAACACTCTCTAATTCAATTCCAAGAAGTAGCATCAGCTCGCGTAATGAAATAATACGATATTATCGATCGGCTGAGCCTGGGAAACTGCAATTAAAAGCTGCACTCGCCCAAAAGCATGCAATCGAAAATTTCATTAAAACCGGAGCGAACATTTTAATGCGTTTTCCTGGTTCACTTCCCTTCGCCGCTGCAGTGTGGGATATTGGTAATATACCCAAAAACCCCCCGACTGCCACACGCCTCATGTGATGCCCCTTTTGGCCATGGCTGATATGGCCAGCCATTGTTGCTGCCATTGTTGCTGCAGTGTACGAGTGTGATTCATGTCACGCTCTCACACTCGACCAGCGAAAAGGCTCACGAACTGGCTTTGTTTGGCCAAAAGGAAAAAATAGTTGATTGCGGATTGCATAACTACAAGGAATGGCCCACAAAAAATAAAAGTTGAAGGCCATGCCGCTTTAATCCACGTATATCTGGGCCAAGCCATTCACATCCATTATACAGCAGTTGGGCGAGTTTGATGTATGAAAAATGGCTGCATAACAGAAAAGTTAGGTGAAGTTCGGCGGAACTTAATATGCCAGTTCGTAACTAATAGCCACAACAAACCTTACGCCTCCTTTTTGTTTCCCTTATTAAATCCGCGTGGCTTTAAGCTCAGCTTACCTTCCTCTCTCAAGAACACAACCTCATGGCCGAAATCCTTAGTATTAGGCTTATTAGGCTCGTTTAATGCAGCTCGTGCAAACTTGTGCATTTAAATGGCATGAAATTTTAAACACGAGTTCCGGCTCAAAGGTAATTACTTGGCTAGAAAGGGGCAGCCTAAGCAAACGTAACGACGAAAGTGGGTCAAGTCAGTGGCCAGTAAGACATGGAATCGATGAGTGCACCACCAGGCGTACAATGGCATGGCTACAGTGCAAAAAATATAGTGGTTTAATAGGGTCGGTTAAACAGGCCAACACCAATTAGCTTTTTCCATTTAATGGGCAAAGTGTGAGTTTAAGGCACACTTAAATGATCCTCATACCTTAGAGAGATAGAAATATCACGAAGGACACATTTTTCCGAGTGCAGCATTAAGACGCTGTTCAGTGTCCGCTTTTTCCACACATTTCCCCCAAGTCAGCAGTCACCTGGCCAGCTTTTGGGAACTGGGTCTGCAGTTGCTTAGTTGTCAAGGTTTGCCTTCATTTTTTTGCATTTATTTTTTGTGCAACAGCTGTGTGTGTGAGCTGAATGTTTTTGAGCTCTTCTGCAGGGCAAAAAAATAGTTTTCAATGACATTTGAGTCACGGCGATTTGTGCCTGTGTGTGTGTCAGAGACTTTGCCAAATTATGTAACTTCAGCATGCCACAAATACCTATGCAAATAGCTCTGCCATCCAATACGTATTAATAGATGTGCATGCCTAAGTGTAAGTGCCTATATGTGTATTCATGTAAATCTTGTGTAAATAATACAATAGGCCACAGCAACAGCTACAACTACTACAACAGCAACAAGAACAAGTACAACGTAAAGCAAAAATGTAAACCATAAATAGAGAATCCCCACAACAACAAAAACTACTACTACTACTACTACTAACTGCTGCAGCAACAACAAAGAGCCGCTGCGAGCAGTGGCAGAAATCATAGCATACCGTCAGGCGCACGTTAACTTAACATGGGTAACTATGCCAAGTCGCACCAGACCAGCAACCACACTCATTCTCTCTGCGCCTCTCTGTGTGTGTGTACATATACATATGCAATAATTAATTAACATACTTCTCAAGTCTTTTTAACTGTCGATCGATGTCTTTTCCTTTGTGTGTTTATTTTAGCGCGCCTCAAGTAAAATAATCGACTTTCTATGCCTTCGATCTTTTGCTCGTTTTGATACACAGACTTAACTCTCGCTCTCTTTCTCTATCTCTCTCTTTACCTTATTTGTTTAACAACGTTTTAAAACGAACCAAATAACAACGACAAGGTAATTTATGCAAAAGAGTTCAAAAGTAAAGCTGCTGCATATGCCATCCAATTTTCGTTGGGCACCCTTTCGCTAGGGCGGACCTCTTTAAGACAAAGATTTTATATATTTTGACGTTTAAATTTGAAACATTATTTTTACCCTTTTTATAATATGTCAATTAACTGTAAATGTTGTTCACTGTAACCTGTAAACCATTAAGCTCTGTTTTACTGCGATCATAGTTCAATTCCATTACATTTCACTCACCAATTGCTATTAAGTTAAGATATATACACTGGAATCCTTTTACTTAAACGTATATAATACAACTGAGGTCCGCTCTAAAGCGCACATACAAACACACCGCACATCCACACAGCCAAGCATACATACACACATTTTAGCTCACGGTAAACGCGCACAATTCTAATTTTGGCGGCCGCTTGTAATTAACATTTGCATTTTCGTAGGGCAAGGGCTTCCCCCTGCGCTGGCATAAATTTCCATTATTTAGCCATAGAGCCGAGTTGGAGGCGTTCGACCCCATTTAACCCATTTATATTTATCCACCCCGGGCAGTGCGTACATAATTTGAATTTTGCACAGCCCTTTTATGATTTTAAGCCAAGTCCCTACACAGGATAGTTGAATTTTTCGAAAATACCATCACACCTTTTCCACGTACATACACATACATCTGTTGCATGTTGGCCAAGTTGTTGCTGTTGCCCTTTCTTCCGGTTTTTGCCCACCCATTTCAACAATCATTTTACACTCTGCTGATTTCGCCTGTATGCGTGTGCGCGTTTTCTGTTTTTGGTCTTTGATTTTCTTCTCAATTCCACCAGCACCTCTCACATTTTCCCATCAAACTGTAATTACTGCGTCGCAGTTCACACTTCACACTCACGAGCGGTTTGTTTATGACGCCCGCCATCGCGTTTATGGCGATGCAAAGTGACACGAGCGGCTGTGTGGGCGGTGGAAGGATCCTGCAGAGCTAGGACATGTGCACACACGTGTGCCAATTTCGCGGGTTTCCAGAAATCCGAGCCGAAGTTGAGCGGTTGAGGGGGCAATCATCAGGGGATACAGAAAAGCAGTCATATAAATAACGCTAATAAATAGGAATTCGAGTCATTTTTATTGGAACACTAAAATGTAGCAGGTTCAAGGATAATGGAAAGGTATTCACAGGCACAGACTTTTCTGAAGAATAAGCTCAGAGGAATGTACCAACTGGCACATCCATCTTGGTTGGGTACAAAGCCATTTTCTTAGAAGTTTTAAAGTAGGTCCAAGCAGAAACTGGCCTGTCACAAGCAAGAGTCCCTTATCAAACTTATGTAGCTTTCGGAAGCAGAGGCAAAAATGGCGAAAAGAATAAAAATTGCGCTTGCTTTTGGCAGGACACAATGTTCACTTAAGTTTTGAAAGGCGGGCTTATTGGAATTGACAGGCATCTTCAGTCCGCGTGATGCAAATTGATTGCTATCTCCTTGCAAGGCTGGTCCACGTGGCGTATGAGTAATGCTTCTTTTTTGGGAGGGTTAATCGAAAATTTAATCAAAGTTAAATAGAGGACAACTGACGGCTTTGTTGCGCGAACTGCAGTGCCAGCAGAAGCAACAAAATGCTCCTCGGGGAGTCATTATGTAAGCTGCCATCAAAAGCAGGATTTACCCTTCGCCATTTTCCTCTGTTTTCCCTTAGTTAACCCCATGATTTCCCCCGCTCCCTTCTGCATAATCGCCTGCTGAAGTGCTTTTGTCTGGGACCGCGTGATAAAGGCGATTTGCAATCACTAAGCCGATAATCATTTGGGTTAAGCATTGCAATAGTTTAATGAACCAGCGAGGATTAAACTTATCATCCAGTTGGCCGTTGACTGGGGAATTCATTAGCAGCCTCACGCCCGAATTGACTCTAATGGCTGAGAACGTGCCTGCGCATCCGAGCCACTGCATCGCAGATTGGGCCAGAAGAAAGTAGCCCCAGACCCACAGACGCCGTTCTTTCTTCCGTCGTGGACCACCTCGTTTGGGGTCATGCGATCCCCAGGGATAAATGCGGTTTAAGTACGCAGCTTTGGCTGCTGAATGTGGGCATGGACATTACGTAAAGTGAAGCAAATACCCTTTGAACTGCTCAAGGGAAAGCGGAATTTAAGTTAGGTCTTAAGGCGGCGTACTGAAAATGGTTTACGGTTATAGCCACACTGAGGTAAAATGCTAAAGCTCATAATGTCATTGTAAACACCATTAATAATAATCAACAACGCTGTGCTTTCTTAATTCAAGTTGTACATCCTTTATTTCAATCATACAATTTTACATGCTCCTTTAAAGAAGAGAATATATCTTCTTTTACTTTTTGCCACGGCACTTGGCCATTTTTCTTTAGCTTGTAGCTTCCATAGCATTTGAAATGTGTTTTCCATGAAAGTAATATAAACATTATATCAGCTATTCTTTCATTTCTGTTCACCTATATAAATAGCTGACAGGACGCATATTCTTTCGGCTCATTAAACCAACTGTCATGCCTTACGTGTTTTTATGGTTGAGTACACAAAACACACACATTACATATACTCACACTCAGGACACATAAGAAAAACCCAAGACGCATGTGACTCTGGCCAAAGTTTAGTTTTGGTCAGGGCCAAAACCGTTCGGGCCAGAATGTGGGCCAACTATCGCAGCCTTGACAAACACTCGTAGATCTTAGATGGCCTTGGGCAGGCGCATTTAAAATACTTACACTCACTTGCGTACAATAAAGAACTGCTCCTCATTGTCAGTCGCACATAAATCTTCCATCTTGCATGGAAAAATGCACTTGAAGGGAACAACAAAACGAGGAGCCCCGTGGCGGACAGTCCATCCTCTGGCCATAAAGAATAAAGAACGTTCTTACGTCCGGCGCCTAATTGGTGCGAAGTTGGGGATCCCATTACATAAGAGTCGGCGCAATTAGTGTTTCATTAGCCAGGGTCGGGGTCTCATACTCCATTGGATGCTGGTCCTCCGGCCAGAGAGCTTCGCTGCTACTACCAGGACTCTCTCCAATTTGCTGGGGGTAAACAAGCCAATGTTTGTGCAGCTTTAACTTTGGTTAACGGCCATTCCCAACTGCCTTTTCATTACACAAATGCCTTTCTCCGAAGGAGTAAACATTTCTGCTCGAACATACTTACACACAGAATGTGTGGATTTGCATTAGCGTGTAAACAAGCTATGGAAAGGAAAAATTCCCAGCAATCATGCCGCCACTTACAGTATAGCATGGCTAAGTAGAACCTGCTGCAATCAATCATTTATGAGGCATAAACATCATGTCCACAGACTCTGTTCGATAATTCCTGATAAAAATGTTTGATACAAACCATAAATGCTACAATATATACAAGTATATGTTGCCAAATTGATAGCTTAACTTAGAGAAGCACAACTGTAAACGTAATCAAAAATGGCTTTTGAGATAGCGAATTATTTTTGCAAAAATGTGTAGTATATTTCTGGGGGCTCTATTTTAATGGATTCCCCGCATTCTTAGCTGTCTGCTTTCCACGCTAACAATAACACCAATTTCCCAAAAATTTCTTTAAAACCGGAAATGTTATTTCCACACATTCCATTCCCATTTTATTTCCCAGCAGAAGCTTTTATGGAAGCCCGGGTAAAACTTCCTATTTTGTTTTAAAATTGGGCTCACGTTCCCATTTGATAAGCTGGCAACCGCAGAGCAGATGTAAAAACTGAAACGAAAATCAAATTATCTGCCAAGCGCGGCCAATCCTGAAAAAATATCGATTTAAGAACCTAAGCCAATCTACGTACCGCCGATTGCAATCTGAGTTTATGCTGCTTAGGGCCAGCGAAAGACATCATAAATGTTTTATTAACTTGACCTTTAGGTCTGAGCATGTGGGTGGCTTATGTGGAGGTCAGGGAATGCCTGTCAGCAGCTGTCTGCAGCATAGAAGCCGATAAAGTTGAGCCACGAGGATATTGTTCGCATGTCGGGGTGTCAGATCTCGCAGGGCTAACTTTTTATGTCTTACATGGAATGCCTGGCCAGGACACACATGTATCGCCCACACATCCTCATGTTCGCATCCTCGCAACGCACACACATACTTGTCAAGTGAAATAAATGTCATGGTCAATTTAACACAAAGACAGACACTCGTGTTCTTCTCAATGGAGTGTTTTCGTCCTTTTGACTTGGCTTTGCTTTCATTTTTTGCGCCCCCACTGATGATGCCTCGCAAGGATGTGGCGCAAATCGCCACAAATCCGTGTCACAACTGCATGCATGCCGCATCTTTGTCGCTCAAAAGTTGGTTCGCTCATCGACATACTCGCCACCATTTGGATCAGAGCACTTGATTGATTAAGTGTCTATATGCTATATAAATACTTATATATAAATATATTTTGTATTCTTTCTTCTTCTCTCTTTTGCGCGCTCTTAAAACGCATATTTGGTGCCAACAACCAACTCTGTATTTTAATATTACGAAATATCTCTATATATGTAAAGTTTGCATACTGCACGGATATTGTAAGTGCTAAGGATCCAGCCGCCAAGAGCCCAGAATCCTATTTTGAATAGACAACCATATCCTTTTACCGCCCGCCGCCCAAAAGTATGCTACATACGATTTTTACTTAACTTTTGCAGACGATGCACAGCCTAAAATGCGTTTTAGCCTCTCACCACCGCCGCAGAAAGCCATTACCAGTGCCCGCCTAACCTCGCCCAGCAGCAGCACCTCCACCAGGAGCACCACCACCATCACCACCCCCGGCAGCAACAATAGAAGCCCCAGCAGCACCAAAGCCACCATGCTGACCCGCAATGGCGGAGGCCACGGGACCAGCCCCACCGCCTCCGGATCCGGGCACGCCCCATCCGCCTCCGCCTCCGCCGCTGCCGACGATGAAGCCACCTCGGACTACAACCAGTGGCTGCATGCCATGAAACTGGTGGCCCGCCTGCCCGGAGGCACTCCACCCGAGTTCCGACGCAAGGTGAGCTTCCATCTAGTTTGTTACTCTTATTTAGACAGCATAAGATCACGGGATGCGAGGAATACTTGTTTGAATCATTATTAAAATATTATATATTATTTTATCATTCCCTGCAGTTGTGGCTCTCGCTGGCGGACAAGTACCTCAAGTCGAAGAACGTGGACTGGGCGCAGCAGCGGGAGAAGTGCTTCTGCGAGGAGTGGCGCGAGGACGACGAGGAGCTGGGCATACAAATCGTCAAGGTGAGCTCCAGTCACGGACAGGCGGTCCTTCAGGGAATCATTAATGTCTCGTCTCCGTTTAGGATCTGCATCGCACTGGCTCGAATCTGTGCACCGGTCCCGCGGGCTCCATAAACCAGGCCAAGCTGAAGCGCATTCTTCTGGGCTATGCGCGTTACAACCCCGAGGTGGGCTATTGCCAGGTGAGTGCTCCTTGAAGGATCTTTGTCTGCTGTGTGCACTTCACAAACATAAAACCAAACCAACGTGCTCCTGCACAGGGCTTCAACATGCTGGGCGCCCTCATACTGCAGGTGATGGACAAGGAGGAGGAGGAGTCCATGAAGGTCATGATCTACCTGGTGGAGGGCGTTCTGCCCACGGGCTACTTCTACGGCTCGATGGGTGGCCTGCAGGCGGACATGGGCGTCTTCCGGGAGCTGATGCAGACGCGACTGCCACGGCTGGCGAAGCACCTGCAGCGCCTCCAGGGACCCGTTGAGAATGCCTTCGAACCGCCGCTAACCAATGTCTTCACCATGCAGTGGTTCCTGACCATGTTCTGCACCTGCCTGCCCATGTCCTGCGTCCTGCGCGTCTGGGACCTGGTCCTAATCGAGGGTAGTGATGTCCTGCTCCGCACCGCCCTCGTCCTTTGGAGTCTGCTTGAAGAGTGAGTTCTGAAATGGCACTAGCTTTCTCACTAGCTGAACTAGAATTTTCATTTCCAATTAGTGTAAGGGTAACCAGAACTTGTTACTTTCCCAACTCTAAAAAATTGAGTTAAAAACCCATCTGGAATGCATTAAGAGAAAAAGCAAGGTTTTCAAAATGTAATTGAGTGCAAAACAACGATTATATCAGTGTGCCAACCCAGTCTGTATAGAATGTTTGGGTTGGGTTGCTCTTCGGTGGGTGGTTGGCCAAACAATCGCCGCTGTGCAAGGCGAGAATTTGTGTCAAGGCTGCTGGAATTTTGGCAAGGGTTTTTCTTGGTTTCCAAATGCAATTTAGCAATTCCGCTCGGTCCTTACCCACCAGGAATTTCATGTTCAGACGTTGGGGAACTTTTTATGGTTTTGTGGGACACAAGTTTAGTAAATATCCACGACATTGAACTATGCTAAGTGTAATCTAGAAAGGGGTTTCATGGGAAGAGGCCAAGGTCATGAGTTGAATTGAAACAGGATAAAATGCTATAGTCACATAGTCACTATCAGATACCCGTTACTCAACTAAATTTGAATGCAGATTTTTAGAGAATTGCTCCAGAAACATTTAGAGGTATGCCACTTCAAAATTAAGATAAGTTGAGTTATGGAGTTTAGAACTTCAGCTTTGGGACATTTCTTGATTTTTTTTGAATTTCTACAACATAATACATCAGAAAAATGACAAAAACATGATAAAAAAATAAATTTCTAAATTTGAATGCAGATTTTTAGAGAATTGCTCCAGAAACATTTAGAGGGATGCCACTTCAAAATCCGATTAAGATAAGTTGAGTTATGGAGTTTGGAACTTCAGCTTTGGGACATTTCTTGATTTTTTTTTAATTTCTACAACATCACACACCAACAAAATTTTAAAAAATTTAAAAAAATTTTAAAAAATAATTGCTACGAGTAACAGATATAAGAATAAGCTCTTGAATAAGTTTTCTTTAAAGTTTAGGTGATAAAATAACAGCATCTTATAATTTAAATTTAATTTTATTTGCATTTAGACGTGTGATCAGTGTCCGGTCTGCCGATGAGTTCTATGGCAAGATGGGATCCTATTCCAGTGAACTCCTCAATGGCCATCTCGTGGACTCAAATGGTCTTATTGAGCGTGTGGTGAAGCTAGGACCCATTGCGGATTTGCGACAGCTGCGGGATAAGCACCTCTACAACATTGCCCCACTGCGTCACAAACAGGGATTGCAGTGAGTATTACAAAATCAAATTCATCTACACATATAATGAAGCCCATATCATGTAGGCTCTACTACGACGAGGAGGACACCCATTCGGATGAGGAGCGCTTGGCGGTGGCTACGGTATTCGGCTTGAATTGGGGTAGACGTGGATCTGTGGGTCCTGCGGCGGCGGGAAAGCAGCAAGTGGAGCAGAAGGATCGCCTGGCCTTGGATATATCCCTGCTGAAGAAGCAGTACGATAGGCTGCGCGAGCGCCAGAAGCAGGCCCATGTCATCCTAACCACCGCCTGTTCCACGGCAGCCCGTCAAGGATCGGGTCCAGCTAGCAGCGCCCAGTCGTCGGTTCCAGTGAACCAGCTACTTCTCGGTCGCCCTGCAATAGTGACCAACAAGGGAAAGCGGATTGGAGCACCACTAGGCGCCATTCCGCCCGCTCGAAAGCCTTCCCTTCCCGCTGTCCTCCATACCAAACCAGCCACAGAGAAACAGTTGCGAAGGGGAGAGACTCTGCTCTGGAGGGACACCGATCCGAGCCGCAGACGACGAGATAGTCTCACCTGGAAGGAGATCAAAGCAGATCGAGCTGCCATGATGCGGGAGGGCACTGATGTGAGCTCCGTGAGAACGCAAAAGCTTCGCACGCGATTCGGCAAGAGCGATAGCTCCTCCTACAGCGAGGACAGCGATGGAGAGCTGGAGACTGGGGCAGGAGGAGGAGGAGGAGGAGGAGGTTCCAGTACGGACACCAGCCTCTGTGATGACGATGACCCAAAGTCCACGGAGAAGAGTCCCAAGCAGAAGGCCAAGCTAGCACGCAAGCTCAAGGAGCAGAAGCAATTGGCCGGTTCCAGGGACACGAGCTTGGAGCGGCAGAGACCCAAATCTTGGGCTCCAAGCAGCCAAGAGATTCCCTTCACGCTGATGGGTACGGATAGTGGCGACGAGAAGGAGGAGCAGGCGGCGAAAGAGCAGCCGGATACCGGGGATCAAGCGGAGGACAGTGCCACGGAAAGCGGTCATTTCGAATTCGACAGAGAATTGCAATTGGTCAGCGCCAAGATAGAGCCACTAAAACTTCCTTACGACACCGCATTCCCAGGCATGCCCTCCGTTAGTCCCATGCCGACGCCCCAAGAAAAGAGTGAAGCTGAAGAGGATTTGCTGGATGAGCGAAAGCCCTTCGATGTGAGCGACGATGGAGTGACAAACCAGTACTTCGAGAGGGTAAACAGCGTGGAGCGGCCCAATCGTCTGGAATTGTCCTACTCGCTCAACGAAGAGGAGACGGATACTAAAGCAATTTACCTAGAGGAGAGGGAGAAAGTTGAGGGGCACAGTGGTGATAGGGAATATAATTCCCTACCCCGTTTCTATCCAAGAGCGGACGATGATGGTGTACAGGATGACGGCAAGGTGCCACAGATTCGGGACGACAACATTCCAGGTGAGAACAAGGACGACTACAAAGAGCTGCTGAGCATGACGATAGAGGAAAACACTGGCTACAAGCCACCACCTCCCACAGCCAGCGCATTGAGCAATGCCAGCCGAAAGAGGCGGGATCCTCGCCGCAAAACCTTGACTCGCTCATCGACCATCGAGATCGAGGAACGGTATCAGGCTCTGGAGCGCAGGATCAGCCAGGATCAGCCGAGTGAAGATCGGAAGGCCAAGTACATACCCAGCACAGCTGCTCTAGAGGAGCGCTTCAACACGCTTGAAAAGCAACTGAGTGCCGAGAAGCAACGCAAGGAGCAGACCGATATGGAGGCTGACCAGCCCATCAAATCCGACCGCATTCCCTCCACCGCCGACCTGGAGTCCCGCTTTAATTCCCTAACAAAACAAATGAGTTCCAGCGAGAACTCTAGTTCCAAGACTCCCATTGATCTCAAGGACGCGGACCGGCCCAGTGGGAGCAGCTCCAAGAAGCAGATGGATAGCGAAAAAACCAGCAAGCTGCACCAAGCCGAGGAACCCGAATCTAATACAAAGGAAAGTGCAGGAGAAACAGAAGCCAGCGATAGCAAAGAAAATAAAAGTGACGAAAAGGAGGCGGAGCAACCACGCCTCAAGAAACTTCCATCCACTGCAGAGCTGGAAGATCGCTTTAATGCCTTAGAACGCAAACTGAGTGTTCAGAAGAGCAGCCCATCGAAAAACAAGAAAGAGCCACCTGATGAGGGAGAATCGAAGTCTACAAAGGAGCCAGAGAAACCAGAGGAGCCCGAAAAGGAAATGGAGAAGTCTTCGGACTGTCAATCACCCATTGCTGCAAAGGATCCCAAGAACAGTGATCAGAAAAAACCCGAAACTAAGGAGACAACTCAATCACCCACTGAAAACAAAGACCAGAAAGGCAAAGCCAAATCCCCAAAAAGTGAAGAGCGCATTGGAAAAGAAACCTCCAAGTCGAAAGAGGATTCACAGGAAACTGATTCAACTAAAAAGGTGGAAACCAATCCAAAGCTTAGCTCAGAAAAAGGCGATCACGCCCTAAAAGAAAAAAGGCAAGAAGCTCCAGGAAAAACCGATAAAGAAACTGCTGAAACCAAAAACGAGAATAAAAGTGATTCCCAAAAGAAAGAAGCCACCAAGACTTCGGTTCCCCAAACTGAGTCTGATTCGAAACCCGCTTCAAAAGAAAAGCCAACTAGCAAAGATGTGGAACTAGAAAAGACTCCTCGAAAATCTCCACCCTCCACTGAGGAATTAGAAAAACGTTTTAATGCCTTGGAAAAACAGATGAGTACCACCAACTTAGAAACAACCAAAGAACCTGATCAAACCAAAGCAGCAACAAAAAGTCAATCTTCAAGTGCTGAAGAAAAGGCACAGAAGTCCATGAAATCTTTTGACGACAAGATCAAAGAAGTTAATGTGGCTATTGAAAAGGAGCAGAAGAGAGTTGAGGTAGAAGATCACGCTGAAAAGAAGCGCCAGAATGTTGAAGAAGCGGTCAACAACAATTTGGAAACCCCAAACAACAAAGTAAAGGATTCCCAGCTACCAGAAGAGAGTGAGCAAAAGGGTAAGAATCAGCGAAGAGCTTCTGAGCCACCGTCAACGGAGGATCTGGAAAAGCGTTATGAGACCTTGAAGCGTCGCATGAGCAGCAAGAATCAATTCAGCGAAACCGTGGACGAGGCTCTCGAGCGGATCCAGCAGGAGGTGATCTCCGAGTCGGTGGAGGAAAAGAAGCCACCACCAACGACGGCGGATCTGGAGAGCCGCTTTGAGGCCCTGCATGGGGATAGGAAAAACGTGGAAGCCAAAGTGGCCGCAACCAAGCACGTGGATGTGGCCATTGAGGCGCATATTCCATCACCACCTCCGCCGCCACCACCACCAAAGGAACGCCCGGTCCTGGCCGCACCGGTTCTCCACCAGCAACAGGCTCTGATCGAGGAGCTGCAGAGCAAGATGCGCGGCCAATCCCCCGGCGAGGAGAACCTCAAGCCCAGCGAGATCAATCCGCAGAGGAGGCAGAGAAGGCTACTGCAACGACCCACGCCCATGGGCGATGAGACCTCGGAAGCACCTGCAAACACGGCTTACTACAGAGCGGCAAACCACGAACAATGGCAGCAGCGCATGGTGCGTCGGTTCTCTGATCTACCCTCTCGGGCGGATCTGGAGAACCGACTGCAGTTCCTGGAGAGGCAACTCTACAAGAAGTTCTACAAGCAGCGCTGTGCAAGTGATTCCGAAGTTGCATCGAGGGTCAAGCTTCCGCCCGAGGACCAGCCGAGCACCTCTCGGCAGGCCAAGGAACTGGAAGCCGAGGGACAGCTGGAGCAGCGTGTCCTGGCATTGGAGAAGCAGCTGAGTGAGAACAGTCTCAAGCTGCTGGAAGCGATGAGGGAGCGCCAGAGGTCAGCGGACGACAGTGGCTCCCCCAGGAGACTGAGCACGGAGACAATCGACGCCACCGGCAAGGAGCTTGTTAGATACACCCAGAACATTGGCGAGCTGGAGGAAGTGGACGCCCACAAGCCCATCAACATAAGCATCAACATCAAGATGATGGTCAACAAAGACAGCGAGTCCAAGCAGCCGAAGGGTGAGTCCAAGCCCACAACAGAGGATCTGACTCGTCGCCTGGAGCAATTGGAGCAGCAACTGCTGGAGGAGCGGGCCAAGAATGGCTCCATCCCACCAGAAGGGGAAGTGCTGGAGGAGAAACCAGAAAAGCTCGAGGAAAAGGATTCCTGCAATAAGCAGGAGAAGAACTGCCACAATCAGCATGTCAAAGGTGATGAAGTCGAGAAATCAGAAGTGCCAGTTGAGCGAAAAATTGAACCTGCAGCGGCTAAGGAGACCAAAACCCTGGAAAATGAAGAGAAAGCTCAAGCTCGAGCCAAAGATGTGGATACTCAAAAATCTGTTAAGGGCCAGAATGCAGTGGATGACAAAAAATCAGTTAAGGGCCAGAATGCGGTGGATGATAAAAATTCTGTTAAAGATAAGAATGTAGTGCATGATACGCAAACAGATGGAGAAAGTTTGGATAAAAAAGGGAAAACTCCTGCTAAGGAAAAATCAGAAGATGGCACTAAACAGAAGTCAGAGGCCATCAAAGCTGAAGTTCCCAAGGAAACATCCACCCAAGGGAAACCTTCCGAAACTAAGTTGGAAAAACGCATAACTAGAGACCCCGTTGCTGAGGAAGCTTCAACTAAAGAGGCTTCCCCCAAAAAGGAAAATCCTGAAAGTGGGGAACCCAAATCCAAAGAAAAGGAAGCGACAAAGGCTGAAACAAATAAATCAAAGGAAACACCTTCAGTTGCGGTCTCCACCAAAGAAGGCAAAGTACCGAGCAAACAACTGCCAGAAAAAAAGGAAACAACCAAACACTCTCCCTCCAAAGAACTGCCCGAAAAAATGGTTATCAATTCCACAGATGTAGGACCCATGGAACCCAACGGCAAAACAGTGGTACTGTTAATGGACAACGAGCACAGAGCTTCGAAGGTGCGAAGATTGACCAGGGCCAACACGGAGGAACTGGAGGATCTGTTCCAGGCCTTGGAGAAACAGCTCAATGATCGAAATCTGGTCAAATCCGAAGACGGTCGCCTGGTACGAGTAGATCCCAAGCCAAGCGCTGAGCAAGTGGAGCAGACTCAGGCTATCTCTGATCTCACCAAGGAAATCGAGGATTTTACCAGCGCCAAGCCGGAGGAGGAGAACCCGAAGGAGGCGGCAAAAGAAGACAAGCTGGAACCCGAAGAGCCGGAGGACTTCGACTGGGGACCCAACACGGTGAAGCATCATTTGAAACGCAAAACAGTCTACCTGCCCTCCACCAAAGAGCTCGAATCTCGCTTCCGCTCCCTGGAACGCCAGATAAAACTGCTTGAGGATGTGGAAAAGATCGACGTGGAGCAGCGGTTGAATGAATTCGAGCGTAAAATTAAGCTGCAGTACTCGCTCTCCCACGAAAAGGATTTGAACAAGTACTTGGAACTGTGTGAGGGAAAGGGACTGGATGACGATGAAGCCTTGCCTGTGGAAACCCCAACGAAGGCGGAGGAAGCTACCGCAACTAGAGATCGTTCTCGCAGTCCTGGACGCAAGGCGGTGGTGTCCAAGTCTCCATATACTTCGCCATCGCGAAAGGCCACCATCAAAACTCCACATACCTCACCCACCCGGAAGCCTATCATTAAATCACCCTACACATCTCCTGCCCGGAAGTCTGCCAAATCGCCATACACGTCGCCTTCCAGAAATCGACAGAGATCGCCTTCTCCGACGCGATCACCGGACAGGAAGACGAAGAGAAGTCCCTACACTTCACCTGCCCGTCGCAAGCCGCATCCTAACGATCTTCCCATATCAGATGATTTGGAGTACAAGTATCGAGTGCTTGACTTGGTTAGATCCAAGTCCAAGGAGAACTTGGCCAAGCGAATGAACGATCCCAACAGAAAGGCGGCCATTCATCCCCTGGAAATGATTCTTAGTCCCAGTCCGGATACGGAGGCGATACCTACAACCGGTGAGCTAGAGCACAGAATACGTGTCCTGGATGAAAAGCTCAGGTCGCCAGCCAAGACCCGCTCAAAGTCGCGTTCCCGATCGCCAACCATCGAAGACATGAAGCGTCAGAAGATGAGAGATGAGCAAAAGCCCAGGACACCTGTCCACAATCTAGAAAGGATTGTCAGCTCGCCTGGTAGACCAGAACCGCCCACTGCCGAGGAGCTCGAGGAGCGCATACGCATCCTGGAGCAGGAGCATAAGTTTGACTTTAAGACCCAGAAGGACTACAAGGCATTCAATCAAAAGCTCAAGGACGTCATCTCACCCTCGCTCTCCTTCGAGGAGTTCCGTTCGGCCAAGTCACGGGAGCAAAGTCCCCGCCGCCATGGCCCCACTACGCCCAAGTCCGCCCTGCGTCGCGATGATTTCGATGAGGGCTACTGTGGCGGTACCCACACAACCAGCCACTACCGCTCCACCAGCCCCAAGGTCATTCGGTTCCGGGACGAGGACGAGGTCGAGGATGCGGACCAGTTCGAAGAGGCACCCAGACCGAAGTCGCGTCAGGCCGGCGATCGAATGGTGGGCAGCACTCTTGACGTTTTGGACTGTTTAGCGGAGAATACTAAAATTCTTCAACGTATTCTTAAGAAGACTCTTGCAGATCAACCATCGGCCACGCGCAGCTACGCCAGCAGCTCGGAGGGTCTGGATGCCCTGGGTAGTCGCCTGATGAGGGTAAGCCCGCTCTACGGAAGCACATATAATTATATTATAATTTATAACCATACCTTCTAGGAAACCTCTCCGATTACCCGAACCGGAACCCACACGGGCGTGCCACTGCGAACGGGGGAGAACATCAACGACCGCCTGAGTTCGATCAAGAACTCGATCAAATCGATCGACACGCTGTGCGAGGAGAAGCCGTACCAGAAGGAGAAGTGCCAGCGCTACATAGACTCGCTCTTCACGGACTCCCTGCACTTTGGCAGCAAGAAGAGCTCCCTGGAGGATCTCAGTCTGAGCAGGAGTCTCAGTCGCAGCGAGAGCAGGGGAAGGAGCATTCACAGGTCTGGTGACTATGCGCCTTCCATAAGGGTCACCTCCGAGCACAGATCTTTGGGCTCGGCGGATTCCCGAAGGAGTCCGTTGGGCCACCGGGACACGAGTCCCTTGCACCACAGATCGCATAGGGATGTCAGCCGGGAGCTGTCCCCGCGGCGCAGGCGCTTGGAGGAGGAGGATGAGGAGCGTAAGGATCGGGAGAGCAGTAGGGTAAGACGTGATAACTTGTTGCCAAATTATTTTGCTGATAATCGTAGCGAACTAAGTAGCGGGAGTAGTTTAACCGGGTTTAACCACAAAGTAGATAGACAACTAGAAGAGACGTGCGCCAAGTATGCGGACGATCGACGCTCGGCCTGTCGCACACCGTTGAGCCACCCGTACGAGTCCCGCACCACAGCCACAGCCACAGCCACACGCCACAGCCACACAGATCCAGTCCAGATCCCAGCCAAGCCAGCAGGATCAGCAACTGCAACAGACAGTTTCCCCCGGCCCGTGTCGCCATATCGCCAGCCGTACGATCCCTACCATCGGTCCCCTGGTGGCGCCGGTGGCACACCCCTCTATCAGCCCGGCAAGCTGGAGATCCGCCACACCACCGTCACCTCGACCTTCTACGATCGGTTCCTCACCGAGAAGCAGATCGAGCGGCAGACCCACTCCCGTCCGCCCAGTCGTTCCCCAGTGGTCTCGCCCTCGGTGCCAGCCAAAAGCTACGTGGACTTGTGCAGCACCACCTCCTCAGCCACATCCACATCCAGCACCTCCGCCTCCTCATTCATGTCCAGCAGCTATGCGGGCCCCTCCTTTTCGCTGCCCTCGGCCAGCAACTATTCCTATTTGAATCCGGTTTCGGGTTCGGGTTCGGGTTCGGGTTCGGGCATCTCCTCTATTTCGCCGCGCGCCAGTTGCTCGGATCTCCGCTCCACCAGTACCACCTCCGTGACCACCTCCTCCTATGCACCCTACAACTTCACCAGCTCCTTCACATCTCGCTTGAGCGATCCCATTGCCACTTCCACTGCGAGTGCAGTGAGCACTAGTTCCCTTACCCACTCCACGGGCGTCTACAATCCCATGATGTCCTTCACGCTGAGGGAACCACTGACCAGCAGTTCCCTGGGTGGCTCAAGTGCCTCTCCATTGCTACCGTTTCAGTTCAACAGAACCTTCACTTCCAACTTCGACAAGGAGCAGAACAAACAATAGAGGGATGCACATCAATCGTTAACCAAAGGTTGTCCATACACATTATTTTGCCCCCATTAAGGATCAAAACATTGATAGATTCAAGGAAATCGAGCTCAAAACTGTAGCACTGAGAGAAAAATCTGTCTAAAACCCATTTAAGTTCTTTTGTGCACATTATTAATTGTTTGTGCTCCTAAAGATATCAAATAATCTACAATTATCCCAAAGTTAAAAGGTTGCCAATTTCTTAACAATTCTCGTACCATTTTTGCCGATTTTAGTTAGGTTTTTATCTCAGTCAGTCTAACTTTCGCCAAGCAATATAAATATAGTAAAAATAACAAACAGTTTTAGGCACTTAAATACCTAAACATAAATACCTATATATCTACAAGTACGAGTATATACAAACCTTGCAAATCGGATATTTATTCTTCAAGCGAACTTGCACCAAACCATTTTGGCTTCTTGCAACTTACCTCATCTACATTGACAGCACCAGCAACTCAACTATTCATAACTTAGCAAAGATTTTTATACAATATATATCTACGTATATACAAAGAATATAGCTATCGAAACTGTAACCAAGTGCGAAGAGGAGGGCAAGATGTTAATCCAACTTTTTTCAGCGTTAACCAAAGTTTAGCTCTAATTCCTTCAACGACTTTGACTTTAGACCACTCAATTAAACTTAAACTTTTCCTTAAAATTAACTAATCAATTACGTGGCTTACACTAGCCAACAAATACCCAAATACCCAAGAAATCAACACACACACACACACTTTGAAACGGTGTAAAACTGCAAGTGCATTTTTGGGCCGAGTTAGTTGATTATTCAATACGTTAACTGACTGACACAAGCCGTAAAATTAGTTTACCAACATTGTTAAATACACACGCAGCCATATATGTACCTATACCAATTGAACGATATATATTGTATTTAATTACGTACACATACCAATTGCAGTTGTTGAATTTCAATTATGCAAAAGACACGATTACGACTATGAGTAATAGGCAAGAAAAAGCGAACCCGAATGCAAATGGATATAAAAACAATTATCACTCGCGGCTGAGGAGCCGAAAGTTAATCAAAACGATTAGGAAAATTTTATGACATGTGTTCGATTCGAAATCGGCAAGATACCAGAATGCTACCAAATGCAATTGTTACGTAGGCAAAATGACGATAACGGCTTCAGTTTATATAAGCATAAATTTAATATTGATTAATGTTCTCTTGAATTTTGTTCCCCAATTTTGTTGTGATGCTTTTCTTGTTATTGAGACACGTTTGTAAGCCATTTATGTTATTGTTCAAAAGCAAACACAATCTAATTAATTGGTAAAAAAGTAGTGAGAATATTTTTATTACAAATTGTTGAAGAGTTTTAAGTTTTGAAATAAAATGAAAACACTTGAAAACGCATTTGACTTTGAATTTCGGAGGGTTGAATATTTCTATCTACTGGAGAGAAGAACTGATAAGCCCTCGCCTTATCATCTCAAATGGAAAAATCTTTCCAGCCGCAAATCAGTCATCTACTGAAATCCGCGTGGAGCGGACGTGCCTGAATTGTGGGGGAATTCGACTAAACCATACCATGCAGCGATTTTTGGGAAGGAGCCTAAGGAGCCAAAGCCTGCTGCTGCGATGTGGTCATCGCTATCTGGCCACCACTCCTGCGGAGGAGGTCATATTTCCCACCAAATCCGACTTTCCCAGCCGCCACATAGGACCTCGCAAGACGGATGTGGTGGCCATGCTGGATACTTTGGGCTTCAAGGTAGGCAGGTCACCCAAAAGCTTTGCTCAGATCAGATTGCTTCTCAGATACAAGTGGCAAAACGAAAGTGTTTAAAATGAAACTATAAGATAGCAATCTTCTGGATTCCGGTATGCCCAGATTCTGATCAAACCAAGTTTACTTTTTACCCACACTTTAGTCCCTGGCTGAGCTCACTGAGAAAGCTGTGCCCCAGAGCATTCAACTGAAGAGGGAACTCGACCTGGACAAACCTCTGAGTAAGTAGCGCCACTTTGCAATCCCGAAATAGCTGAAAAACAAGGCGGCAATCAATGGACCCCCTGGCGTGTTCGCAGGCGCTGATAAGGCGGTGATAAGCCAGGTTCAGCGGGGTCCCTCCGAGTTATCAGTGTTTTGACTGTCCCCACGCATGAACTTCGATTCTTCGTCTGCGTCTGGCTGACAACAACTTTCCGTTCTGCAGATGAGCACGAGCTGATCCGCCGCATACGCGACATCTCGCTAAAGAACCAGCTGTGGCGCTCCTACATCGGCATGGGCTACCACAACTGCCATGTGCCGCACACCATTATCCGGAATATGTTCGAGAATCCGGGCTGGACCACTCAGTACACCCCGTACCAGCCGGAAATCGCCCAGGGCCGCCTGGAGTCCCTGCTGAACTATCAGACCCTGGTGTCCGATCTCACCGGCTTGGACGTGGCCAATGCCTCGCTCTTGGACGAGGGAACCGCCGCCGCCGAGGCCATGTGCCTGGCCACCAGGCACAACAAGCGGAAAAAACTTTACCTCTCCAACAGGGTACATCCCCAGACCCTGTCCGTGGTCCAGACGCGAGCTGAAGCCTTGGAGCTGGAAATCGTGGTGGGCCCTATTGAACAGGCGGATCTGCGCAGTCGCGAATTGGCTGGCATTCTTCTCCAGTACCCAGATACTTATGGTGATGTCAAGGACTTCGAGGATGTCGCTGCTTTGGCCAAGAAAAATGGGGTAAGCTGGAATATTTACTTCGGAAAACTTGGACTTGAACTTGGCTATAGCGTTCTCTCTGGTTTCCTTGTAGACCCTCGTGGTGGTGGCGACCGATTTGTTGTCCTTGACCCTGCTGCGTCCGCCGGCGGAATTCGGCGCGGACATTGCCGTGGGAACCTCCCAGCGGTTGGGAGTGCCACTGGGATACGGCGGCCCCCATGCCGGATTTTTCGCCTGCAAGCAGAGCTTGGTGCGGCTGATGCCGGGAAGGATGATTGGCGTGACCAGGGACATGGACGGAAACGATGCCTATCGCCTAGCCCTGCAAACCAGGGAGCAGCACATCCGGCGGGATCGGGCTACCAGTAACATTTGCACGGCACAGGCTCTTCTGGCCAACATGTCGGCCATGTACGCCATTTACCACGGTCCGGAGGGTCTGAAGGCCATGGCCAACCGCATCCACCACTTCACGTTGACCCTGCACACGGGACTCCTGGGAGCGGGCCACGAGGTGATCAACAAGAACTTCTTCGACACACTGCACATTAGACTGGGTGGAGGTCAATCTCTGGAGGATCTGAAGGAGCGTGCCGAGCACAAGCGCATTAATCTCCGATATCTGGAGGATGAAACTGTGGGCGTGGCCCTAGATGAAACGGTCAGCGTGGCGGACGTGGACGATCTGTTGTGGGTCTTCAAGGCAGAGGCCACTGTGGAGCACATTCTGGCGCGTAAAGATGTGCTTAAGAACTCGATTGAGAACTCCAAGTTCCTGCGTACTTCGCCCTATCTGCAGCACCCTATTTTCCAGAGCTATCACAGGTAAGAGTTTCGAAAGCTCCAGAAATCATTCAACTTGAAAGCCCTTCCATCCGCACAGCGAATCCCGCATGGTGCGCTACATGAAGAAGTTGGAGAACAAGGACATCTCCCTGGTGCACTCCATGATCCCCTTGGGATCCTGCACTATGAAGCTGAACTCCACCACCGAGATGATGCCCTGTTCCTTCCGCCACTTCACCGATATCCATCCTTTCGCGCCGGTAGAACAAGCCCAGGGCTTCCATCAGATGTTCAAGGAACTGGAGCACGACCTATGCGAGATTACGGGATACGACAATATCTCCTTCCAGCCCAACTCGGGCGCCCAAGGAGAATATGCCGGCCTGAGAGCCATCAGGAGTTACCACGAACACCGAAACGAAGGTCACAGAAATATTTGCCTGATTCCCATCTCCGCCCACGGCACAAATCCAGCTTCTGCACAAATGGCGGGCATGAAGGTGGAGCCCATTAGGATTCTGTCGAATGGCTCCATCGACATGGCACACCTTAGAGCTAAGGCAGAGGAGCACGCCCACGAGTTATCCTGCCTAATGATCACCTATCCATCGACAATGGGCGTATTCGAGGAAACGGTTGCCGATATATGCACCCTGATCCACAAGCATGGCGGACAGGTGTACCTGGATGGAGCCAATATGAATGCCCAGGTTGGGCTGTGCCGGCCTGGCGATTATGGCAGCGATGTTTCGCATCTCAACCTGCACAAGACCTTCTGCATTCCGCATGGAGGAGGTGGTCCTGGAATGGGCCCCATCGGCGTGAAAGCCCATTTGGCACCCTACCTTCCCGGACATCCTGTTGTCAGCCCGTTGAGCAGCGAGGAGCACAGCTTCGGCGTGGTATCCGCCGCTCCCTTCGGAAGCTCTGCCATTTTGCCCATATCCTGGTCGTACATTAAACTCATGGGCAGTAGGGGCTTGAAGAGGGCCACCCAGGTGGCCATTCTCAATGCGAACTACATGTCCAAGAGGCTGGAGCAGCACTACAAGACTCTCTACAAGGCACCCAACTCGCAGCTGGTTGCGCATGAGTTCATTTTGGATATACGCGACCTGAAGAAGTCGGCCAACATCGAGGCAGTGGATGTGGCCAAGCGACTCATGGATTATGGCTTCCATGCGCCAACCATGTCTTGGCCCGTCGCTGGAACCCTGATGATCGAGCCCACTGAATCGGAGGACAAGGAGGAGTTGGACAGGTTCTGCGATGCCATGATATCCATTCGAGAGGAGATTGCCGAGATCGAGGCGGGGCGCATGGACAAGGCAGTCAATCCACTGAAGATGTCTCCTCACACCCAAGCTCAGGTGATCTCGGATAAGTGGGATCGGCCATACACACGGGAGCAGGCTGCCTTCCCAGCTGTAAGTTCATTGCATTTTTCAATATTTATTTACACAACTATATTCCAATTTTTGCTGCAGATCTTTGTTAAGCCAGATGCCAAGATCTGGCCCACTGTGGGCCGGATCGATGATGCCTATGGTGACAAGCACCTTGTGTGCACCTGTCCACCCATTTTGCCTGATTTATAAGGCACTTTAGTTTTAAGACCAACATGCGATTTACATTTAACTACTTCTTAAATAAACCCCTTAAAGTATCCTTTGTATTAGAAAGCTTTTTATTTTTCTTGTTCAACTAATTGATAAATTAAGTGCTACACTTGACTGTTTATGTACGAACATTCAGTCATGTATGGTACATTTAGCAATGAAGCAATATACTTTTTTAAAATAAATAAAAATTAACTTATAAAATACCGCAAATGCTAGATTTCAACTTTTTAAACTAGTGGCTATAAACTTACTTGTACTTAGTTTTCTTAGCTTTAGATTCAATTTTGGAATCTTTTACACATTTTCTATACTGTCTGTGGAAGGTATTTACATTGCTTGTGGGTATGGTCCACTCCACTGGCTCGGGCTGCTTTGTGGGATCGGATGCCTCCGAATATTCGGGTATCTCAACACCCAATAGCTTACAAACCTTGGACAAAACCACATCCACATAGCTGGACACGATTAAGTTAGCCTTTTTGTCATGTTTTGTGGGCTGCAGATTACAAATGACAAATTTTCCACCGCGTTTTAGATTTTTCAAAGGCAGATCTCCGCTGGGAACGATCTGCAAAGTGGTTCCAAGCGCAATATTTAGGTCAGCGATGGTGGAGTGCATCACACCCATTTCAAGGTCGTTTTCGGGAAGATCATGTTCCCAGTCCAGAACATTATCGTATAGGATTCCCGATCTGCAGCTACGACCTTTGCTCTCCATAGAAGATTTGCAGGCACGTTGCAGGCATTTTTGACCCACTGTTTCCACGGCAGATGGGCTCACAAATTGCCGTCTGCACTTCCTACACTGTTCGACGTAAATGTTGCCGTGCAACTCGGAAAGATACTTCCGATTCAGTCCGGATTTCAAGTGGAGCCCATCAATATTCTGGGAGATTACGTACTGCACATAGCCACTTTCGATTAGGGCTATGATGGCCATGTGGGTCTTAGTCGGTCTGGCTTCATCGAAGGAGACATTGAAGTCCGGCTTCTCGCCCTTCTCCTCCAGCGTCCAAACGCCCTTGGGTCCGCGGAAGTCCGGAATCCCTGCGGACGTACTGATCCCAGCTCCCGTGTGGAGAACTACATGGCCGGATTTCTTGATCAAATCAGCCAGCTCCTGGCACTTTTCGGCCACAATCTCATCGCTGTCGAAACTCTCTGGTGCTCCCAGGACTCCCTTGTTGTCGTAGGCTGACAATCCATCCGCGTAGTTGCAGCTCATGCTTGGATATAGGTTTGGTCTTCCTTAAAAGCTTTAATTATATCTCGTTGACTTTAATTTGTTTATATTTTGTGCGGTTAAGGGAGTCCATCGAGATTTTATTGTTTATAATATGACCGTATCTTGAACGCTGCAAAATCTTTTAGCCGTGCCTAGTGAAATTACACTATGCACTTAACGAAAACTATAAGTTACAATAAGTTTTGCAGCTTAGTTCAAATATAAAAAACATCAAAAGCATAAAGTATTGTTACATTAAATATTAAGTTTGTTAGATATAAATGTTCTTCAACATTTTTAAAATTGTATCGATGTGTTTCCTAGCTATATTTGTTGTATTATTTAAAAACAGTTTCAGGCAGTTATAATAAATAATTGTATTTTCGACTTTGTTGTTCAGTGTGCCGAAGCGCTGAGCACACATGCTGGGATTTTCCACTCGCACGGTCACACTGGAACCCCGCGCGGCCGACAAAACGAAGTGTGCTTCTATTTTCCAATCAAATCGCCGGCAGGAAAACAAATTTCGTCCAGGGCAACGGGACAATAGCTTGTTTGATCGTTGCAGCGCTTGAATTCACATTAAAATTCACCCTCGGGCGAAGAAGAGAACAGCTGAAACCGGAAACGGGTCAGAGTATCAGAGCATCAGCAAGGACACGGATTCAGAGGCGCCATGAAGATCGAGGAAGTCAAGAGCACCGTGCGCACCCAGCGCATCGCAGCCCACAGCCACGTGAAGGGATTGGGTCTGGACGAGGTGGGAGCTGCCGTGCACAGTGCAGCCGGACTGGTGGGTCAGAAGGCGGCACGCGAGGCAGCCGGCATTGTGGTGGACCTCATCAAATCGAAGAAGATGGCCGGAAGAGCCCTGCTGCTGGCCGGGCCACCGGGCACTGGCAAAACCGCCATTGCTCTGGCCATTGCCCAGGAGCTGGGCAACAAGGTGCCCTTCTGTCCCATGGTCGGATCGGAGGTCTTCAGCAATGAGATCAAGAAGACCGAGGTGCTGATGGAGAACTTCCGCCGCTCCATTGGTCTGCGCATTCGCGAGACCAAGGAGGTGTACGAGGGCGAGGTTACGGAACTCACTCCCGTGGAAACCGAGAATCCCATGGGCGGATATGGCAAGACCATCAGTAATGTGGTCATCGGCTTGAAGACAGCCAAGGGCACCAAACAACTCAAGCTGGATCCCAGCATCTTTGATGCCTTGCAAAAGGAAAAGGTGGAGGTGGGCGATGTCATCTACATAGAGGCCAACAGCGGTGCCGTGAAGCGTCAGGGTCGCAGCGACACCTTTGCGACCGAGTTTGATCTCGAAACCGAGGAGTATGTGCCGCTGCCCAAGGGCGACGTCCACAAGAAGAAGGAGGTTATCCAGGATGTTACTCTGCACGATCTGGATGTGGCCAATGCTCGCCCACAGGGCGGCCAGGATGTGCTCTCCATGATGGGCCAGCTCATGAAGCCGAAGAAAACTGAAATCACTGGTTAGCTGCGTAATTTCCTTTCCATTCAGATTTACTAATGTATTCCTTGATGAGCAGACAAACTACGCATGGAGATCAACAAGGTGGTGAACAAGTACATTGACCAGGGCATAGCCGAGCTGGTTCCCGGAGTCCTCTTCATCGACGAGATTCACATGCTCGATCTGGAGACCTTCACCTACCTACACAAGTCCCTGGAATCTCCCATTGCCCCAATTGTGATTTTCGCCACCAATCGCGGACGCTGCGTTATTCGGTAAGAACTATTGCGCTAGTTAACTGCAATAGTAAGGGTATAACTTTAATACCCGGTTATATCTGTCCCTTCTCCAGTGGCACCACCGACATAGTTTCGCCGCACGGAATTCCGCTGGATCTGCTCGATCGTTTGCTGATCATCCGCACACTCCTCTACTCCACTGCCGACATGGAGCAGATTATCAAGCTGCGCGCCCAGACCGAGGGACTGCAGCTGGAGGAGAACGCCTTCGCACGTCTCAGCGAGATTGGAACCAGCTCCACGCTGCGCTACGCCGTCCAGCTGCTGACCCCGGCCCACCAGATGTGCAAGGTGAACGGACGCAACCAGATCAGCAAGGACGATATCGAGGATGTGCACTCGCTCTTCCTTGACGCCAAGCGCTCCTCGAAGCATTTGTCCGAAAAGAACAATAAGTTTATGTTGTAAGTTTGACGATTCCAGCTGAATTGTAATTCCATTTGCACGGATTTCCCAGTAAAAGAATGATAAGCAATTTTATTGTATTTACGTGGTACTGTGAAGAAATTTAAAAGTCTCTCAAAATGGCGCTCAATATATCGATAAGAAAAGTGTGTACACACTTCAGCTGAAAATAAATCGATAACACGTGGAGGGTGTATTAGCTAGATTAGGGTGAGTCCAGAAATTTCATTAAGTTGTTTATTAAATTAATGGTGAAAGACTATAATATTTAAAAGTGTTCGAAAATCCAACCTTTTTTCGTATACAAAATATCGGTTGTTTTTTTGGATTATTATTACTTAAACTCTCGTTGGCCCGATATGGCAACTCCCTCACGCGCCACCTTGCAATTTCCCACCCTGCGACATCAGCTGTGCGCGTTGTTTGGTCAACCATTCCGATTGGTGGTGAGTTCAGTTACTCAACGAGCGTCGAGCTGCGCACTGCCCCAAAATTAATAGCCAGAAAGCTCCGCGGAAGTGCATGCAGTAAATAGTATATTCAACGATTCGAGTCGCGGCGTGGGCGTCTTCTTCTTTCTCGGCCCGTTCCCCTCGCGTCGCGCATCTAGCCTCTCGCTCGCTCCAACGACGCCGGCAATTGCACTTGGCGTGCGTGTGTGTGTGTTTAGTGTGAGTGCGTGTGCGTGTGTGGTTTTCCGAAAGAATGTGAAATCATAATAAAAGTCGCGATTTGTTGTTGCTATTCGGCGCAATTAGCCACTATTTAACGCACATGTGTGTGTTTCGAGCTTATTCGTGTGTGCACAAAGCCAAGAGTTTCGCTTTGGCGGAAATAAATGCAATCCTGATGGCAGGATCAAGGTAAAATGGAAACATTTGGGATCTATTGCATGAATGAACCAATGTTGAAGAAGCAGCACAAGCAGCAGCAGCAACAACAACACAGCGGCAGCTAGGAGAGCGAAAGAGAGCGAAGGCAAACAAACGAAAATACAACAATAAAAAGCAAGGAACAACAACAAGAGGTAAGTGCGTGTGCGTGTGCGTGAGATGGCGTGTGTGTGTGGGTCTGGAACTGGAGGCCGCACCTCCCAATCAGAAAATTAGTGCTGTGTGGGTGCGCGTTACACTTTTTTGTACTTATTTCCTTTCGGCCTTAACTGTTATTATTATTTAAGTAGCACGAACGAGGGAATTACATAATTTCGGTTCTTATTTTGTGTCTCTCTTTGAGGCTCCGAATAGAAAGCGAAAGTATTCTTATGGGAACACCAGCGTGTGCGTGTGTGTTTCTTTTATTTATGAATGGTGATTATGAGACTGGATAATTAATTGCCAGCATACGTTGTGATTTGAGTTTTGTGCGTTAACCAGTTGAGTGGCTATCTGTCTCGTTTGCACCCACAGCTGGTCATAAATCAAATAAGAATTTCACGCCACACAAATGAAAAGCAACAAACAAAAGAGACGAAGCGATGAACTCCCTCGCTCTGATCAGAACGGGAAGAAGAAGCAGCGGCATTTGCAGCTGCGCCAAGCGATCATTTTCGCATACTTTTTCTTAATTTGTTTGTGCCGAGCCATTTTTAATGTGAAAATCTTGCGGGCGAAAATTGGTCGCCGCAGTTGGCCAAAAACATAACACATA